TTATAATGTGGGTTCATGTTTTGTCCACGTTCCCTTTATAAGAATTGCAACCGATTTGCGATATTTGGAATACTAATTTGAAACCAGAAATATTAGAAAAATTTCAAAATACAAAACAAAAAAGGTTCCAGTTCTTATTAATAAAAACATCTTTTGAATATACCACAATTTTGAGATCTGAAATACCTTAACAAATATTTTTTTTAAATTCTTATTCCCGCAATAAAAATACCTTCCCCCAGAAATATTTTCTATTCACATATTTTTTTTTTATTCAATTAATTTAAATCCCATTCCCTTTCATCTTATAAAATTTCCACAAAGCTTTTCATAACTGAAAATTGAAACCCTAATTTTTAGAAAAATTACGACATCAAATTTGCAAAATAGCCTTTGTACTTTCGACGCAAAATTTAAACAAATGAAAAATTTCCAAAAATCAAAATTAATTATTAATTATCAAAAAAAAAATGGTCTGGAACGATCATGGGAAACCGGTTTCACATACCAACAACAAATCAGGCGATTCCATTAATCGTATCAGACCATACTTTCTTGTTGTGTCAATATTTTATTTCTTTTCATCTAATCTTGGAAATTGTATTATCACTCGAACGATGTGTTATCTTGATGATTTTTTTTCAAACGGAATATTTTTTGTTAAATAATTTTTTGGTTTTAGATTTTGCTGAAGATATAGTGTGTTGAAAATGTCTTTAAAACTATTTCACTTACATAGATAAGGATAATAAAACTAATGTTTATACCCTTCACCACACTGTGGTACAGGGTATTATGTCTTTGTGCATATGTTTGTAACAGGCAAAAGGAAACGAGATAGGCACAAAATATATAAAACTTTTTAATTATGCATGTCCGTCCGTCCGTCTGTAGATGTTAAATTGTAAACAAAGTACAGGTCGCATTTATAATCCGATTTGGATGAAATTTAGCATAAGTCACTTATTTGGCCCAAGGACGAACCCTATTGAAATTGGGAAATTATCTTAGTCAATTCCTTCTTCGTTGGATTTTTATATTATCAACCTTATCATTATCCTGTAGAAAGTCCCTTCAGTTTTGAAAACAAGAAATCAAACGGATACTGCCAATCCATGCGGACTGTAGCGCCGTAAGAAATTCTTTAAAAAAAAAAAAAGATTGGCCGGTTATAATTACGCCCTAGCAGTTGTTTTTGGTGGATTTTTGCGCAAACCTTATTCTATTACTAGAACACATCCTTTCTCCTGTAGGAATACTACCAACAAAACCTTCAATATTTATGGATCTTGTTTTTGAATGAATTTTATTTGTAATAATGGCTCCGAAATCGTTGGGGCACATTTTTAGTAGAAATTGAGCTATTTGTGTTCAAAAAATTTTAACGTTCATAATGGTGGACCATAACGTCGCCAAAAATTATTAAAAAATTAATGGAATGGAATTTCCGGCATTTCCTTCAAAAGTCAGTCATTTTCCTATTCTAGAACAAAAAAGAAAATATTAACACTTCATTTTAAAAAGCTGACTTTCGAGTGAATCACCAAACCTTTATTTATGTTTATAAAGGGACAAAACAAAAATAAATGACATATTTTTCAAAACCAAGGAGTTTTGATTCGAATTCGTTCGTTTGGAAAGAAAATATGTAATACTTCATTTTAAAAAGCAAACTTTCAAATCAAATACCTTAATTTTATGGACATCGGAGGCATTGATTTGATTGCTTAAATAATTTGAAAATTATACGTACTTTATTACTTCGTGGTAGTATTGCAATTAATGGTATACAGTCATGTCTGGATATGGAAAAAATATTTTTATATTAATTTTTATTTGTAAATTTTAGGTATTTTCTCACAGTATCCAGTTAATTAATAAGCCCATTAAAATAATTTGCGAATAGATATTTTTGGTTTTCTTTCTTCGGATATGTCCCCTCTATTTGTTGAAGTTTATACCGCGGAAGCTAAGAACTTTTTAGATCCAATTGTTATACTCATTTCAGTTTGATTCGGATCCAGTCGCCTTTACACCAAAACTTGCATGGCTTTGTGCAGTATTGCTTCCTCCAATTATTGTATGTATATATTTGTGTGGCATTTTCCTCTGCAATTCAATGAAAATGGTTCAGACTTATTGGACTTTGTAATCACATAGATATTCCTACTTAAAATCCACAAACACAATTGCAACAGACTCAAGATAAATACGATAAAGATATTTTGGTCTATAAAGATTTTTTATGTTAATCAAAATATAATAGAGTTTATTTGAATTATTTATTAGGCAATAGCCACAATTTTTTTCAATCCCAATTATTCCAAATTAGCATAATCAAATCGAAAAAGCAACAAAAAATTAATTGACAATTTCTAAATTTGACTTGAAACGTGTACACTTGTAGCAACAGCAGCAACCAAAAAATCAGCTGATTTTCTCAATAATACATGACTGCCTAACGCCATTTCTATCTATCTCTCTCTCTCTCCCTCACACAATCCAACCAACAAAAAACTCTCTGTTATCTCAAACAGCCGGCATAATAATTGATATGCCAAAAGCACTACAAAAGACAGCAACAACAACAACAACAACAAACGAAAACTTACTTTGCATAACCTCCCGCCGCCCGGTATTGTGTCAATGTCATTGTACGCGAGTTTGTCGTACGATGTTATGTCTGTCCAACTGGCTGGCTGCCTAGTTGTCGCGAAAAAGTTAACAAACGCATATTTTTATCTCATTCTCTTTTTACACATTCTCCATAATTTAATCAATAAAATAGTGTAGTCCACACATATTATAATATAACAACAACAATAAAATTATCTCTATGAATGTGTTTGCTTGTTCATGTATATTTAACACACTTTGCAACGATGAATCTTTGTTGTTGGTTTGATTGTTTAACCAATACACATAATGACAACAACAATAGTGTGCCTTTTCTTCTTCTTCATCGGGCATATAGAAAGTTGGCAAAATCAAATTGAGGATAAATAATACAAGCAAACAAACAAAAAAAGAAAACCGGCTGGCGTGATATTATTTGTTTTTGTTATATTTTTTTCTTGTTGGGCAAACAACAATAGAGAGCAACAGATACATTGCAAAAAAGAAAAAAAGCAGCAACGGTACCGAGAAAAAACATATGTTGAGATACCAATCGGAAAGAGTGAATGAATTGCAAGAGGCTTGCCACGAAATCTAATTGGATAAAATGAAGGAAAATAAAGAAATTTATTTTTTTTTTAATTTAGTAAATTTTAAAGAAAAAATAGGCCTAATAAGGACTATTATCAGATGACAAAAAGGGGGGAGAATGAAGTAATGAACCAATAACAATATAAGAGAATCAATTTCTAATTGGATAAATTGAATAGAGTGCAGTTCTAAAATGTTGGTTGGCATTTGCACTAAAAATTATTTTGATGATTTCGAGGTGATCTTCAATGAATTTCGAAATATTGGAAATTAAGAAATAAATACAAATATTGACCTCAAGCTCGATCAACCATCTATAATTTACTAACATTCGAAAGGTCGAAAAATCATAAAAATAATAGTTACAATTTGCTTTAATAAAACAAATCGGAAATATATAAAATTGATCTAGGATTTTAAGAACAATTTTCAAAGAGGAAAATTTAATTAGTTTTAATATTCGATAAGTAGAACCCATTAAGTTTTGGGTAAGAATTTCTTCGTCGTAGCAATGAAAATTATAATTTTTGGCATTCCATCTTCACCGGAAACTTTAAATTTTCGTATGGCCTATATTTCTTGCATTCCTCCTTATTGAGTCATTTTGATATTTATGTTTTAAATTAATTAATTCAATTTTCAGTTCAAAAAAATTACTGACCTAGGACACCACGCGTTCTGAGATTAAATACATACATCAATTAAAATAATATGCATTTGAATTAATCGACTGCTGCACATTTGTAGAGGGATTATCAGTTGATGATAGTGACAATTATTTTGCTTAATTTTTTTATTTGCAATTGCATAATAAAAAAAGTGATTCATAAAATTTCAAATGCAGTTTCGTGATAAGGGGACAATCGAAATTATTGTTTTTTTTTATTATTTTACACTGATTAGAGCCTAAATATGAATATGTTTTTTCACTTTTTTTAAATCAAGCTTATGTTTTTAAAACTAATTTTAATACAAGCATTGATTCCTTAATGACATGTTTGCGGATTTTTCTTTAAATGTTTCTTCATTGAAATATCCTCATTTTCCCCCAATCTTTCTCCCTGCATTGCAAACACTTGCATTTAATCTCCCTGAAAGAGAACCACTACTCTTTATTTCTAAGAGAAGACATCATTGATGTGACACATACTTGTGCTCTTTAAAAACCCCCTAACAAATGGAAATAAATATGCAACAACGAAACCCGACAAAAAAACCGTGCTGTCGGCTCTCTCTAGTCGTCAATACGATTCGTGTTGGTTGGACAGCAGCTGATAAAGTACCGGATTGCCGGTCGTCGTGAACAGTTTTGTCGTGGTCTTGTTGTTTCATTTTTATTGTTTTCCTTTTTCCTATTTTAGTTGTACAAAAAGAAACTGATAATAAAACAAAATTATACAAATGCAATTGAAAAATCTAAATCTTATCAGTTTTTATTAAGAGTTTGTTATCATCAAAAAACGAAAGGAGAAAGAGAGAGTGGGACGAGAGATTTGTGTTTTATTAAAATATTAAAAAGAAAAGAAACTACGAAACAAAAATACAACATCATCATCACATTGCATAACCCCCAAGCCCAGTAAAAAACACAAACCAATTGAGATTTGTTGAAAAAAACGTACACAAAGTCCAATGTTCCATATGCCGCCGCCCCATCCATTATCAGTCGTCATTTAAGTGTTAACAACGTTCCAAGTGTTTTACACGCAAACGAAAGAAGTTAAAATTATTTTTTAGAATAAATTAAAGTGCAAATTTGAATCTTAAAAAATAAAAAAAAAACAAAATCTACCATCATGTTCACTTTGCGAATGGCCACACGTTGTTTGTACTCGGCCCCAACATTGTTGAGGTCGTCAGTTCAAAAAACCGCTTTCATGATGACATATGCTGGGGTAAGAGAAATAATGGCAGAGTATAAGAGAGAGCATTTTAACAAATTTAAAATATAAACAATATATTACAAAAAAGAACAATAATAAAAAATAACATAAAAATTAAAAAAAATAATTTCCTTGAGCGTTTGAAAAATCTATTGTACGATGATAATTACCAAGTATCCTCTGTATAGAGAATAGGGAGATCTACTGTATATAGAATTCTCTTAGAAGGCATTCTATCGACAAAAGGGATCCAAAATAAACCTTCTATAAATTGAAGATCTTTAGAGAAGGTTATTATGATGATCTTTGGAGGGTATTTTGTCTATAAAAGATAAAACAAGAAATTCAAGGAAACCTAGGGATCCATTTTGACCACATGAGACCTCAGAAATGTATTCTTTCTATAGAAAATATTTAAAAAGTAAGGTGTGGAAGACTTCCTTAAAAGCAGCCTATATTTACGTTTTAAGTGGAAAGTAGACCTGATAATTGTTTCTCCAAAGGACTGAAACTTCCAGAAGACAGGTGAAGTCTCTTAAAGTTCTCTATTAAATCGTCCGAAGGTCTTTTAGACCCCCAGATGGTATCTTGGACATTCCAATGTCCTCTGGAACATCTAGAAAGCAGCTTACGTTTCTAAAAGCCCTCTATTAAATACCCTGAAGGTCTCTTGGTGCTCCCAAAGATCTAATATATTTCATAATGTATTTTATTTTTCGAATAATTGAAATTAATATCAATTTTTGTTTTTAACTTTCAGATGGCAACTAAAATTAAAGCCGGTCCCGTTGTTGACATTTTGGGCGATGAAATGACCCGCATCATTTGGTCCTCCATTAAGGACAAATTGATTTTGCCCTTCTTGGACATTGAATTGCACACCTACGATTTGGGTATGGAACATCGTGACAAGACCGACGATCAAGTCACCATCGATTGTGCCGAAGCCATCAAGAAATACAATGTTGGCATTAAGTGCGCCACCATCACTCCCGATGAGAAACGCGTCGAAGAATTCAACTTGAAGAAGATGTGGAAGAGTCCCAACGGCACTATTCGTAACATTTTGGGCGGTACTGTATTCCGTGAGGCTATCATCTGCAAGAACATTCCCCGTTTGGTCAGTGGCTGGAATAAGCCCATTGTTATTGGTCGTCATGCTCATGCCGATCAATATAAGGCCACCGATTTCGTTGTCCCCGGTGCCGGTACCTTGACCATGACTTTCACACCCGCAAACGGTGGTGAACCCATCAAATACGAAGTTCATGATTATAAGGGTGCTGGTGTTGCCATGGGTATGTTCAATACCGATGAGTCCATTATTGACTTTGCCCATTCCTCGTTCAAATTCGCCTTGGAACGCAAGATGCCTTTGTACTTGAGCACCAAGAACACCATCTTGAAGAAGTACGATGGTCGCTTCAAGGACATCTTTGAGGATATCTACAACAAGGAATACAAGAAGGATTACGAGGCTGCCGGTATCTGGTATGAACATCGTTTGATCGACGATATGGTTGCCTATGCCATGAAATCCGAAGGTGGTTTCGTTTGGGCCTGCAAGAACTACGATGGTGATGTACAATCTGATTCCGTCGCCCAAGGCTACGGCTCATTGGGTCTTATGACCTCTGTGTTGCTCTGCCCCGATGGCAAGACTGTTGAATCGGAAGCCGCTCACGGTACCGTTACCCGCCATTACCGCATGCACCAACAAGGCAAGGAAACCTCCACCAACCCCATTGCCTCGATCTTCGCCTGGACCCGTGGTCTCTTGCACCGTGCCAAGTTGGACAACAACGCCGAATTGAAGAAGTTCGCCGAAACCTTGGAAAAGGTATGCATCGATACCATCGAATCCGGTTTCATGACCAAGGATTTGGCCATTTGCATTAAGGGCATGAACAATGTCACCCGCAGCGATTACATGGAAACCTTTGAATTCATGGATAAATTGGCTGAGAACTTGAAGAAGGCCCTCGCTTGACTAGTAAAGGAAGATAATAAGTCTCATCTTTAGATATAGTTGATATGTTTCTTTTTTAATTGCTGATTTTACGCGTAATTTAATTGTATTTAAAAATAATAATAACAGCAAAAAAAAAATTGTCCTACACATGTTTTTGCAGTGCATTTGCTTTTGTGTTTTTTATAACATTGTAGATTGGCGTTTAAAAAACTCCATATTGGCGTTTAAAAAACCAAACGTGACCAATGTAAAAAACACGAATTAAAACAAAAAAATAAAATGAAATTCATTTTTATACTTTTAACAAAAAAATATGTATGTGTAGATGTTTTATTTAATATTTTGGAATAGTATGTAAAAATAGAGCAGCAAATAAAATATGCTATCTATACCTAGTAGAGATCAAATATGAAGGGCTATTAGATAATCATCATAGAGGTATTCTATAAGCAGAAGACGTACTACTTTTTAGATGACTTCTACAGATTTCTGGGGGGTTTTCTATATTGTTATGAATCTCTTAATTCAAAGTCCTTAGTCAGTCGTCATATGCATGTCTTTGATCAGAACAAAGTGTTGTCAATAGAATCAAGTTCATTGGCACGTGCTCAGCTAGACAAAACAATGGATTATGAAGGTTACACGACGTACTTAATGAGGCTTAATCTTAAAAAGCATGCTAGCCCCAAGTTAATCCCTGTAACCTATAGTAGTCAAACATATATATATATATATTGTATTACTTGTATTGCTTATTACCCTCTCTGTGTAACCCAACATTCGCAATCCAATTTCAAGGTTTTCCAAAAAAACAAAAGTCGAAACGCACGCCTCATTTATACCCAGCGAATTCAATGTCTGTTCGACCTGGTTGTTTCAATCATCTTTTTGTTTGTAAATGCCGACTTAAATTCGTTGCAAGCACCATCCCCCCGGAATTCCTTCATCGTTGTTGTAACACTCTTACAATTGCATTTTTGTTGTAGTTGTAATTTTAAAATTTAAAGGTCTTTAACCTGACCATCAGTGAATGCGCAAACTAATTTCGTTGTGGGTGTATTGTCGGCTTCGCTAGGGTGTTTTGCGATTTGTCCCATAGGAAGTGTTCAAGAGGGTGTCGAGCGGTATTTGTAAATCAATTTGAAACGTAAATGACAAAATGTATGTAAGTTATTCGGCACCTCGCCCCCGCCCCAAAAAGAAAATAAAAACAAAACATTCTTGTTTGACACATGTATGACCAGTAGACTTCTGGTGGATTATTGCCTACCCATCTCCCTGGCATCGGTGCGTAACGTAACCATTATTCAATAGTTTGAAAATAATGTACAGTGTTTTTGAGTGGATTTTTTAAATATTATTTTCCAAAAAAAGAATTAATTGGCGTGAATTTAAAGAAATCCAAAGGGACTGATAAAGTTCTGAATGATAAAAGTTCAAAAATCAATTCCATAGCGTATACATCAAATATAATCCAATGGATTTGTGGGCAGGATTAACGAGATGTGTGCGCTATGGAATTGACGTTTGAGATCGAGTGGATTTGGTAGTCAAAACGTGCTCTTAGCAGGCTTGTATTTTCACAGGTTGCGGATAGTGGGAAGCCCAATACTATTCATTGGGTAGCTGTGGATAACAAATAAACATTCGCGGACAATCAGCGGGCTTAGGAGGAGAGTCTCGGAAATGACCAAGTGCCTATGATCCCTGGGCCGACGAGGCGAGAATGGCGCACCTATATAACCGTCTCAAAAGGTCTGGGTCACTAACTTTTTAAAGTGTCCTAACGCTGGGGTGTCATGCAACCTCGTGCCTATCAGCGTTCTACGGTTTGCAGTCAGGGTCCCTGGAGGGTGCCCTTTCAACCCTGTCTAGCTGGGCTTACGCCAAAGGTCTTGGTGTAAACTCCACTAAGGCAGAATTGGTGCTCTTCACAGGAAACGTAAGATTCCTAGTTTCCGTCTGTTATCACTGGGAGGAGTGACTTTAAACCTTTCAGAAGAAGCAAAATACCTTGGAACTCACAAACTAATGTGGAATAGAAATGTTGAGGAACGCTCTAAGAAAGGACTGCTGGCAATCTACTCATGTAAGAACTCCATAGGTAAGAGCTGGGGATAAAGACCCGAGATAATACACTGGCTGTATATGACGATCGTCCTACTAGGGGGAATAGTCATATTAGTGACTATGTTCCCTCTCACTAGATCTCTCACTTCAAAAAAGTGGGACTCCAGTGAAGAGGATTACTGTGACTATAGGTCCTATAAATGTTGTTGTGGATATTTGATAATAGCCTTCTTCTCAAAAATAGACCCAAACCAGATCCTAGGCTTTGTCAAAAATTTGACAGGTTTTATCTTTTCCCCTTGCTCTTCCACTCTCTCTTTTCTTTCTTTACAGGTAAAAAAGGATGATCACAATGGACATAGTCTCCGAGTGGACGGTTGTTACTAATAACCGCACATCCCTAACCTAACCTAAGTAGAAAATCTCCCTACAACAATAATTATGACTATAGGTCCAATTGTTGGGGATTGTATGGAGTTTGGCCAGGTTTTATTGTATTCTCATTGTATAAAAAATCTGTTTACCGAAAATTATCGGTATTGACCCAAGTTTCGGGATAGGCCCCACATTATGATACCTCATAAATTTCAATATTATGGGAAGTTTTGACACGTTTTCAAAGCAAAAATTATCAGTATTAACTTAAATTTCAGGGTAGGTCCCGTACATGCATATATATTTTCGATATTTTGGGTACGCTTTCCAACCGATTGGTTCAAATTCTATATTTTAGGTTTTCATTGAATGTAAACTTCTGCTAATAGTAACGGATTTTTATATAATTTTCCGTATAAATATTATTAGTTGTGTGATTTTGTTTAATTATTTTTCCAAGGATTTGGAAAATATCTGGATTTTTTTAAATTAATTTCATTTCGTCACTGTCCATGGCCCATTCAGAAGAAACCAGGAGGGAAAAAATCACTTCTATGGTTTCATCGCCTTTGTTGTTTTCCTTATACAAGAATTGTTGTTTTTGTTGTTAACTATATTTAACAGTGAAACTATTTGTTGTAACGAAAAATTAAGCAAAAAAACAAACCTCCATTGAAAACAAAATCATGAAGAATGGCCTTTATTAAATTTTCGCCTAGAAATGGCTGCAGTCTAAACGTAACTTACCAGCGGACAACATGCATTAGGCAAACGGTTGGAAGATTTTAAAATAAAAAAAAACGTTTTTATTTTTTCTACACCACCCATCCTTCGCGCTCTCTCTTGTTCTTTGTCTACTACGCACCTTACATAAGTTAATTAAAAGTTCGGCTTTATTTTTAAGTTTAGCGTTAAAAAATTAAAAAACAACTCTCTCACACACACACCCACACATATCCCCCGTCGGTTAAGGATATGTTATCCATAATGGGATTAAGTAATTTCAATATTATTGCCGTTGTTAATCGTGCCGTGAATTTCAATATTACGCTGATCGTTGTGTGCCTGATATCGTCGGTTGTGGCGGCATATCCTTCGAACACGTACAAGGATTTGGATATATGCAATCACTGGAATGGTCGTCGACATTTCCTGGAATTGGGTGAACGTGGTGAATTGCATGCACGCAATGTGACCACCTCTGCATATCGTGTAGGATATTAAATTTCAAAACCAAAAACAAATAAATTGGCTTACAACAACAAAGGATTTGCAATTTTTGTTTTTTTTTCGAATATTTCCAGAGTACCCTCTACTCATCGGCATCATCGACATCCTCGCCCAGTAATGTGGCTGCCACCACAACGCTGAATGGCGCCAAGATTCGTTCCAATTTGGATTTCTGGTATCAATGCAACCTGGAACTGGTCACCTGTGCTGAGTGTGTTATACGCATCACCGTCACCTTTGCCAATTTCTCCAAGACCTGTGAACGTATCGCCAATTCAGCGGTGGGCAAATCCTCCCTATGTCCCTGTGAACATATACAATTTTCGGAACCACCGTACGACAATACGATATCGGGTCAAGAGTTTTGCGGCGATGGCAAGGTGATTCGCAGTAAAACGCGAACACTCTTGTTGAAGTTTTTCTATAGGGCAACAAATAGTCATGTCTTTTCGTTGCAATACTTTTCCGAACGTGAGTAGTATATAAAAAATGCATACCTGAGAAGGCACTTAAAAAAAAATTTTTTTTTTTAAATTTTGTGCCTAAAAGTTTTATAAAAAAATCATCACTAAGATGTCCTTGGAAAGTATTTAATAAAAAAGATATTTTATTAAAAATGCTCTCCCACAATGCCCTTGAAAAATCCTTAAAAAAATGAAAAAATCCTTATAAAGTCCTTGGAAAATTTTTGGATAAAAATCTACGCCTTAGGAGAACCTTAAAATATCTTATAAAAATATTTTTTTTTTGGAAAAAATATTCACGCCTTCTCGTTTCTCACTTTCCTCCAGGTAATGTGAAAATCGTTAGCGGTATACCGCGACAAATCGACCTATCGACAAATCCGAACAGTAATATACCACAAATCATCTCAACACCCTATTTCCCTATGAATTATCCCCGTGATTATGGTACGGAATATATTTTGACATGTGATTCGGACAATTGTCATGTACGTTTGGATTTTACCGATTTTCAATTGGGTCTCACCTCCACCATGGAAATATTCGATTCGAATGGTCAAATGGTCGATTCGTATACGGGTGAACATTTTCGTCCGCCGATCATCATCAGTACGGGTAAATCGTTGTTATTGCAATTTCGTGGTAACGGTGTAACCAGTTCGGGATTTCGGGCCGAAGTTACATTTGTAACGCCCAGTCAGCTGAAGGAGGATCGTCTGATGCCGTATACTGGTAAGACTGGAACAAAAAGAATTTTAAAAGAAATAAGAAAAATTAATTTACATTTTCTTGCAGACTGTGGCGGCTTGGTGTCTGGACCTGGTGGTGCCATTACCATGATGAATATGATTGAGAATGCCACCGATGTGCGCATGTTCGATTGTATTTGGATAATTAAGCCCAGCAATAATTACATTATGATGAAGACCCACATCTCGTTGCGTGTTGATGAATTCCATAGCATGGCTTCGAGATCCGAATTGACCATTCGCCAGGGTACCACATCCGATTCGCCCGAAATCGAGGATGTGGTATGGCCCAATAATGGTATGTCAAAGGAGAATCATGTTGTACCCGTGCTGACCGGTTACTATATTCGTTTGCGCGGTGTCTTTGGTATGTCCTCGAAATTGGCCATTGTCTACAGTGTCTTCAACTATTTGAGTAAGTAGTCTCGGCGATACCCTCTCTATTTTGTATGTATGTGTGTGCAACTACATTGTATGCAGATCCCTATCTTAATTTAGATTGCTACATCGGTTCGGAATTCCTGTGCAACAACAATCACTGCATCTCGATACGTTTGCATTGCGACGGTTTCGATCATTGCGGCGATGGCAGCGATGAACCCGATACCTGTGAAGAAGATTGGGCCCATCTGCAAAACGATCGTCGGTGGTATTCGCATAAGCCGAACTATTATTTTCCCAAAATTGAACAGTATCCCGATTTGAAGACAGCCACTGGTATTTTTGTTATCTCAACTTTGGGCATCTTTGCTGTGCTCTCCGGTTGGATGGTGATTCTGTACAGGATGGGTGTAAGGGCACGGCATCAAAGGGAATTACAAAATCATTTGCAAACTATAAGCGAACTTTTGGGTATGTACATATATCAGATTTTAAATCACAATTTAAACAAATGTATTTCCCTTTCTCAGATCGCCAAGAGGAAATCATACCCGATGAACCTCCCAGCTATGAGGCCCCACCCGATTATGAAGAGGTCATAAAAATCGGCATGGATCATGAAATGCGTGAACCCCGTGAATCCCGTGACCGTCAACGCCAGCGTAAACACCATCGTCGACGTGGAGAACGCAGCTGTAGTCGTGCCAATAGCAACACGACAGTCTCCTCCACGGTGCCCATACACAATTTCAGTGATATGCCATCAACATCGGCAGCAGCTTCGGAAATGTACAATTTACGCAGCACTCCAGAGGCTTTAGTTGAATTGGAGGGTGCCGTCGGAAATTCTGTAACGGCCACCGCCGTTGTAACAACTCCCGATTTGGTGCAACAGGTGGCGAGGGCAACACAAAATTGTGGTAGGACAAAATAATGCTTAACTGCTTCATCTTCGATTTTTATAAATCAAATAAAGAATCTCGTTTGCAGGTATTGCAGGCTCGGCTCAAACATCAGAGACAGAGGCAGCGCAAGCTACATGCCAGTGTAATTGTAAGGGGCAGATGGGCCAATGCCTCCCGACCACAGCTGTAATTGAGAATATTGTCATAACAACACCCGATTCGTAAGTATTGAAGTGGAACATGAAGTGAAAAAGAAGTAAAAATAAGCAAGAATAATGGGAGTTAAAAGCAATACATATTTGTAAATAATTCCGACTTTGAGACTCCTTGAAAAAAAGGCATTTTTAAATAATTCCGCCTTGGAGAGTCCTTGAACAATGTTTTTAAATCCACGCCTATTACAGTCGTGGAATATTTTTAATGATCCCGTCCCGAGAGAACCTGAACAAATTATTTTATATTTTCACATTAATAATGTCCTTGAAAAACATATTTTAAAAAATTCACAATTAATAATGTCATTGAAGAAATTTTGAAAAACCAGGGTCCTTAAAAAATATTTGAAAAATCTACACTTTGAGATACTATTTATTGTTATTTGCAGCTCTCCCAACACACCCCAAGTGGAAGAAAGTGCCCGAGATTTTTGTGATGATTCTTTAAATATATCCTGTACATTGGGTGTATTACATCCGGTATCGGCTCCAGTCCCTGGCATCGCCATTAACGAAAATATTAATGAAGGTAATAAATAGTTTTTGTCAATAGACATTTTCGAACTATTACTGAAGCTGTTGTCCTCCCTAAATTTTTCAGCTACAACAGCACGACCCAAAAGTTCTGTCAACTGCACCGAACACACATATTTAAAAAAGACATGGATTGTTATGAACAACGATGGCAAAGGCTATCGGGTGCAGCGATTGCGTCCTACATTCTCTTCACCTGAATCATTTCTAAGCGACTGGTCGTGCTATGGTGACTCACAAAATTATGGTTCCATTTTGGCCCATGATCAACGTTCGATTATCAGCAATAATACCAGCAACTGTATCTCCGATATATCCAGAGATCCGTCCTATGATACTGGCATACATTTCAATATGCCGCGAGTGAAAAGCAATGGCAGCTGTAGTAATAAATCGCAGGATATCGCTTCGACTTCTTCCATGTATACGCAAAATAGTCATACATCGGACCCCAACGAGGCTATAACAACACAATTGATTATGACGAGTCTTGAACAGGATAGCGAAGATGATGAACGCAGCATTTCTTGTTTCAGTGGTGTCAATAATCCCTTTAGGACGGCGAATGTCAATAAAACGAAATACACCTCCGTGGCTGGGAGCAGTTATAGTGCTGTGGGGGGAAACAACGGCGGGAGTGGTAGTGGCAGTGGTGGTATTTCACGCATGCGTCGTCGTCATTGTCGAAGTAAATCCTTTACCAACTCGGGTCGTTTCAGTGATCCCCGGCAAGAGAACACCATTAAGCGAAGTTCATCGGCTAATCTGTTACAAAGTTTCGAAAGCGTTAGTGAAAATATGAATAGTGATAGTAAGGAATCAACGTTATATTTAATTTAAGGTTATGTATGCGATATATATTTATACTCATATTTTTATGTGTGTAATATAGGTGTGTATAGGTGATAAAATGTGTGTAAGATAACAACAAATAAACAAAGAAGAAATACAAAAATACAGTTATGTATGAGTACAGAAAATAGTAATTCAGGTTTTTTTTGTTTATAATGGAGGGAAATTCATCAAAATGTGTAATTTTCTTTTAATCCAGGCATATTGTTGATCCTTGAAAAATATGTAAAAAAATACGCATATGTTTTATACTTAAAAATATTTTAAAAAATCACTAAATAAATATTTAAAAAGAAATCCATGATTATAGTTGACCCTTAAAAAATATTTTTCATCGATATTCTTAATATTTAATAAAACAAGTCGAATATGTGATAATATAGTTTTTTTATAATTTGTTTATTTTATTTATCTCATTTTGAGTGATTTAGTGTGTATAATGGGTGTGTCTGTATGTGGGTATATAGTAGAAGGTTATTTCTTTAAATGTTATTGACAAATAATATATAATATTTCATATTTATATAAAATATGTTAATTAGTAACATTATTAATCATTTGAAATATAATGTAAAAAACTGATAAAGAAGTCTATATGTACACTATGGGAAATTAATCTGAAGGTATAGAGGAATATAGAATATTTTGGTCGGTGACCAAAAATTTATTAAATAAATGTATGTTTCGAAATGCATAACATTGATTTTTCAATCGATATAAGGCAAATTGATTAGGAGCCAAAACGAAATACTAGCTTAGATAATTATGTCTGTATGTATGTATAGTAAATCCCTGTGTTAATATTGTTTACAAAGCCAACCGAAAAAAATAATGAAACGTGTTATAACTATTATTGTTATTAATGTTTCCTCATCATACACATTACATGAATATATATGTATATATATTTCCTTTTTGAGAATTAGCTGAGAAATAAATATATTTTATAAGCCCTTATTTTCTACTACATGAATATAATGTGTATGTGTGTGTATGCATTTTCCATTAAATATGAAGTAGTCAATCTTGTCACTTCTTAGATTATTTTTGTGTATATTGTTACTTAATTGAGAGAATTGATTTACTTAAATCACATATATATGTATGTTTGTCTATTGCCCTTACTCAGTAGTGGTATGTGGGGGAGTTTATTTTAAGAATTTTGTTTTTTCCATGTCCTACACCATCAATAACTAGAATCACATTTTACTTATCGAAATGTACGCACTGAGAACCGTTTTCAGAAATCTATGTCCGTAGATTTCTCAAAAAAATGTCTACAACTTTCGAAAATATAAAAAAATTATTAAGATTTATATTCCAAGCTTGTGGATCTGTTTTTTTTTATTTCTTTTTTTTTAATCTAAGACCATTAGATTTTCTAAATCCACTCCTATCTTAAACTTTTTTTAATCTCAAAATAATACACATTTTGTTCTACTGCCCAATTTTTAAGGAAAATTAATCATTAAAAATTGCGAACTACTATTGAGGTGTGGGGTATAATATAATGGACACTCGTGTCCATTCTTTTTTTCTTTTCATTTAGTATATATTTTTGCACAATTTTGGAATGTTATGCTAAACAATTACAACACATACATACACCCCAAATTACTGTAGTTGTTGAGTTTGCGCTTGTGGTTGTTGCTGTTTTAATGTCTCGTTCAAGAGATGTTTCCCAGTATTTTCCAATGGTACCACCATTATATTACGTAAACTATCAATACTGTTGCGCAAACGAGCCGCCTGGAATTTTGATGGTAGCTTGGGTGAATTACTCACAGAGAATGCCTTGAATTCCTGTAAATATTTGGTAGTTGTATAAGAGAAATACACAAAGGAAATAGAAGTTGAGAAGAGAAAAAAACAAGAGTAATAGTTTGTATTATTTTATTTGCTGGTTATATTTACAGTATGAATTTTGTGTGGAAATTCTTATTGGAAAAGAAATAACATAAAGAAGCAATACTTACAACTAAAGATTCGAAACAAATATTGCATTTAATTCATATGAAAGCAAAAAAAAATTAAGCTTTAAGCTATAAGGGGAGTAGTTGTGTATTTTTAGGTGGGACGAAATTTAATTTTTTTATGTATATTATCATATAATATAACTATAACATAAATAAGAATATCAAAATAAAGATGTGTCTTTTAAAAACATAATAATAAATAAATTGTGCATATAGATGAGTACTGGTATTGTCATGTTTAACGAAACTTAACTGAAATAGTTTAATGAAAGCAGGGATTTAATATAAACTAAAACTAAAAAAAATCAATTCAATATTCAAGACAAGTGTGTGTGATGTGTGGTGCGCCCACCACTTTGTTATTATTTATATTTCAAAACTATATTAAGATACCTGATGTCCAGAGGGTGAATTTGTTTCACTACCCGTAGCCGAGGACATATACGATTGAAACGAAGCTTGCTGTTCACGATTATTACGTGGCGTCACCTTCTCCTGCAGAGTATTTAATGTCTTCGAAAACCATGGCTGCCAACTGTTACGATTCGATTGCATCTCGGTAATTGTCGTACTGAGTTGATGATTTAAATCTTGATTTTTACATTCGGCTTCAACTTGAGCCAGCTTGGCTTGTGCCAATTCCAATTCTAGTTCACGTATATGCTGTAGAGCTGCATTAAGTGGATCCAATGGCCCCAATGTGGCCTCATTTGCATTTGTATTCATATTTGTTGTTGGCGATCGATTGTCGTTACTGGTGCTGGACGACATTGTGGGATTTATAGCGTTATTGGCGTGTATATCCTTTTCAATGTGTTTGGAACAATTTTCACATTTGGCAACGGTGCTCTGCAAAAATGAAAATATATTTTGTTTTAAAGACACTAAAATAAATATGACATAACGTCTATGAAGTTTTCTTAAAAACACACTTCTAAATCCACGCATATGGCAGTGCTTGAAAATATAATTTTTAAAAAAATATCTGCTTATGTGTCTTTCTTAATGATATATTTAACGAGTAAGGAAAGTAGTTAAGTCGGACTGGGCCGACTATATTATACCCTTCACCACTTTGGGTATATTCTATATATGTTTCCTAACAGACGTCGCCTTTTCGAAGGAATACTAACTTCAGTCAATCGGCCAACCTATGGGTCTTTACATTAAATCGGACGAAAATATATATGGGAGCTATAACTAAATCTGAACCATTTACATAAAATCGGAGGAAACTATATACGGGAGCTATATCTAAATCTAAACAGATTTTCACGAAACTTAGCACACATCATTCTCGACATAATTCAGTACCCTATGCAAAATTTCGTGCAAATCGGAAGAATTTATATATGGGAGCCATATTTAAATCTGATCCAATTTTCTTCAATTTCAATAGTGTTCGTTCTTGAGCCAAATAAGTGACTTGTGCTCAAATTTCATCCAAATCGGATCGTAAATCCGACCTGTACTTTGTTTACAATTTAACATCTACATAAAAATGTTTTACCATAGTGTTACTTACCATTAAATTACCCAATGTCTCATTCATCGTGGTCATATCCTGTTCCAGCCGCTGTATTATCTGTTTATAATCCTGTATAATATTTGTGTGTTTCTTTTCCCGTTCAATGGCACGTTCATTGGCCTCGGCCAATTTCTGTTGTAACTCATTTATTTCACTTTGTAATTTACGCCTTTCGGCACCGAAACGATTCTCATACAATTGTGACTCCTTCTCTAAACGTTCCTTATCTTGTTTCTGTAGCTTAAATTCATCTTCGTATATTTTTAATTTTTTAATTTTACGTTCACATGCAATTTTCATAATACGCCGTGCCTGACTGGGGCTACGACATTTTTTCGGTAATGTAACGCGGAAATATTTCAATATGCCCTCGAAATCCAATTGCCGCAGATCATTTTCACATATCGATAACAGGGTCAGGGCAACTTGAAATAGAACATTAATGCCATCCAATAGAAATACATCGAGTACATGAAATACAAAGCACAATGGGAAGCGTGCAGTGAATAGTGTGAGGAACCATTGGGATGCGTACATATGCGTCTCTATGCCACAATTTACAAAATGTTCATGTAATTTGGGTAATTGATCTTTGATCAAACGTTCCAGTTGATAGTGTCGTAAATATAGCGCTTCAAAGCCTTGCTTGTATAGATCGCGCAAACCATAATCGTACATTAATGTCACCAATACACAAAAAGCATCCTCTTCGGGCATCTGTAAGAGAAATGGATTTTGATTAACAAAAGGCAAGTGCTGGCAAATGTTTCGATACTTACGTGCAAAAGTAAACTGGCGGCAATAAAACTCAAACCCTGACAATAGCCAACTTCGCTGTCATACACAGCATAGGCTTTGGATACTTTGAAGAGGGCGTCTTGACCTAAACAACGTGAAAATTGTAAAGTAAAATAAAACGAAAATATTATTAATTTTGGAAATTATTATAACGAAAGAAAATTTTGTAAATATTATTACACTGCCTAGATTTTACCCTAATTAAATATACTTGCAAATCCATTTTCATGGCTTCCCTTAAACATGTGTTTTTAAAGCCAACCAAAAAATTGCTTTTTCCAAAAAAAAAAAATCAATAACAATTATAATTACCAGATCCTCCTGTCTCCCTGAAACATTTGTGAGCTGGAAATGTCCTATGTATATCACGTAGTATAACAGTCTCACATTTGGTTTCCTATAATTAAAAAAAATTGTTAGTTTCTCCCATTTGGAAATAATTAACAAAACAATTGTTGACTTACTTTGGTGATTAAAATCTTATACATATCAAGCATTTCAGTTTTCGATTCAATGCCAGCCAGTTTTTTCCATATCATTTCACGCATAGCTTCGGGTATACCCAATCTAACTAGTGGTGGCAAATTTTTAGGTCTCTTCTCACCATCCCATTCCCTGAGAACTGGATCCCATTCATCAAGTGTATCTTGAGGACAATCTCTTGGTACTTCACCGGTACCGCTTAGCAATGGTTCATCACCATCCGACATATCTTCCGAATCGGTAGGACAATCATCTTCAATCGATGCTATCGACGAAGAACGAACAATACGCGATAAATTATTCATGCCAATTTTCAATAAATACGAAGATGAAGAAGAACTTTGCTGGGGCTGTTCGACGATTTCTTCGGCGGGATCAATAGAGCTTACTTTCCAGCTAAATTCATCCGTTGTACGTTTTAAGTGTAAATAGAAACGTAATGTCATGGGACGTTTGGAGATGAAATGATCCATAATACGTAACTCCCCGGCTGACTGTATTTGAACGGGTGTCTCAATAACAAATCGCACGGGCTCTTGTATGCCACGCATAACAATGTCAACGGCCACAGTTAGAAACGTTTTCGAAGTCTCAACATTTAGTTGATCAAATGCCTTTTCGCTTGCCTTCCATTCGGCTTGTATGTGATAGGGATTTAAACACAAAGGTGTAATTGGTGGAGGAGCATCGCCAGCACCACCACCACTGCTGTTATTCGAGGAGGCCGGTTGCTGCTGTACATAACCCATAGAGATCATATCGATTAAACGCATATCAGCTTGTCTCACCAATTTGCCGGGACTTAAAAGTACCCCAAAACATCGATCTATAAATAGAGGCTGCAATACCGTCGACGGTGTCTGCTTTACTGTTATATAAACTTCTTTATCTGTATTAGCTCGTAGCTTAAATGTACCACGATCTCGTGGTACCGGAGCATATGAGTTTTTAGCGACTTTTTCTCTTATTTCAAGTGATACATGGAATTCATAACCGGCCGTATTCAAAGGATTACCACTTATATCGGAAGTAATGGAATTCATCATATTATTTTCGGTGGCCGAGATCAGACTACAGGTCATGCTGGGCGGATAGGTTTGGAAAGCTTTTTGGAAGCAAGCTAAAAAGAAACAAAGACATTAATAAATAAACAATGCTTAAAGAATTATGAGAAAATATAAAAAGTTTTGAACGACTAAAGAAAGGAGATTTCATAGGATTTGTTTGTTATGGACAAGCAGGGCTAAAAGAAAATGCTATAAACTAACTTTCAAAGTTATAAGTTTCAATTTTAAACAATATTTTGTCAATTATTGAGAGATTTTTGTAGAATATTTCAGTAGGGACTAACAAAGTGGATTTTCAAAGCACTACCCAATCTATTATTATTTTTTAATATACAAGGCTAGCAGATTGAAAATAGTGAACTTTTTAATGCATATTTTTTCAAGAATAGCATCTTCATCTTTTAAATAATATTTTTTTAAGGAAGCTATAAGCTTGAAATTTTAAGGAATAATGGAGCTAGAACATTCAATTTTTAAGTAATACTTTTTCTTAGGACTAATGGAGCTTGTAGTGCAATATCTAGATGAACTATAATCATAAATTTTTCAGAGAATATTTTTCAAAGATTGGCGTTTATTTGTTAAAATACATTTTTAAGGGCTGACTTTGATTTGTTTAATGAATACTTCCAAAGAAGTATCAGAACAATGATCCAATAACTCACCACTAACTTGATTAACGGCTTCCGGTATATGGCAACGAAAGACATGACACTGAAACAACGATTCACCATGCAACCAGGTAAAAGCAAAACATCCATGTTCGACAGTTTCAATCGGACCACGAAAATATAGAATTATACTTTGTACTTCATAGGTTTGTATGATGGAATTTGTTTCGGCATCATGTAGAACAACCAAACCATCCGAACAATTCGGAATGCTAATGGATATTTTAAGGCCATCAGTCGAAGTGCCACTATTTAGTTCGCTCATGATGCGATAAACATCCGTTTCCGATTTGGGTGCATTGATGTTGGCTGCACCCAAATATGTAACACCCGAAAAAATGGTACAGCCTTGATCAATTTCTGAAACTAGAAAATATGAATTACGGATAAATGAAAATATTCATGGATATGTGTTTTTCTAATACTGACTATCATCGTCGGTATCATTCTTTTCGGGTTTCATAATATCCTGTTTCTCATCCAAATCGGCACCATCACCTTTTACCCTTTCACCCAAAGCTGTTTGTGTTCTTAGTGGCATTGTGGGTGGCGGTGGTGGTGTTGCCGCATTACCATCTGTACAATCATAGAATACCGATTGCCCCACACGATTCAAATCCGATGTAGAATCCTCACTCTTAGGTGTTGGTGTACTGCTGCTGGTGGCATTATTTCCACCAACACCACCACCACTCAAATGATTGACCAATGCTTTTGTTTTCATTGTGGCATTATCTTGAGATTTATCCAATTGCTGAGGTACCATTAACGCGGGACTTGTTGTACCCGTTAGGGGTAGTGTTAATGATTTTTGTTTAGCGCTAATTGCTGCTGCCGCTGCGGTTCCGCTCGAGCCACCTAAAAGAAAGAAAAAGTAAATGTTAAAATAAAATAATCATCAATAATAAAATGAAATTGACATGAATACCATGTGTGTGTGGTTTGGGGAATTAATTTTTAACTAAAGGGCATATGATAAGACACAACAATCATTACGTACATGCTGATATCTATGATTATTTGTATATATTTTTTCCGATATTTTTGGAAATTGAATTTAAAAATGGGGGCGTTATGAATACATACATATTTTTTGTATTGATTTATAAAATTTGAAGTGTGTTGTAACCATAGCAGCAAATTTGTTTATGGCCTTTGTATTCGATGAACAACATCAACAACAACAACAGAGGCCATTTACACAACTGTTCACAACTCTGTAAAGTTATCACAAAGGTGCAGCTACGGATTGTAACTTCTTATCGATTAATAAATGAAGGCATCTATGAATGGCATACTATAAACAGTACGGGACCAGAAAGATGTTTACTCTTTTCGGATGAGATATCAAAAGGAAGTGGACAGTTCACTCCCAAATATTACCCAAGTTTGGATCAATTTAATTAATTTTCGTATACGAGGGCCAAGAACGATTCAAAAACGCAAAATATAGACTACTCCAAAAGCTTAAATCCACTACATATGAGATTTGCAAAATTTTTAAATTTTGATCCTTTGTGGGTTGGTGCCAGAAAGAGTGACCCATTTTTGGTTATTATATATCCATAGTAGTGAAGGGCATTACGAAATTTGTCCCAAGACAACTTTAATTATTTGACGAGAGTAAAGTCTCAGGGTTGAAGGCTTTTGTCTAAATATACATGATGAATGTGTATTTTTAAGATTGATAAGAAAGACAAAAATTTCCTAAATTACCCACGGCCGGGTATTTATGTAGTCTTGATCCGAATTTTCTCCACTGACAAATAAGATTACATTTTATATCAAGTTAATAATAACATTAAATTCAAAGGAGCAACTCTAGTTTAGTTAAAACGATCAAATTTTTACTCTAACAATGGGGATATCTTTTTTTCTTGGGGGGACCTATCCGGTTAACCGGTTATTTGACCCGGAAGTTCGGGTACGGGTACCCGGTTAAATCTGGTTCTTCGAATCCGGTTAATATAAAATGGGTATCATTTGAGTGGTGATATGATGGGGTTACTCAAACCGTTTTGTAGATACCGTCGAAAAGCTGGGTTTTGGTTCCCGACATTTTTTTTTTCTGAAAATCTCCCTAAAAGTCGAACTTGGGTCCATTATAGTCCCTCTCTAACCTTGACTCAATTGAAAGACCGGAATTTGCCCTTTCCAAATGTGGCTGTATCTGTTGTGGATCAAAAAATGCGAAATGTGGCTGTATCTGTTGTGGATCAAAAAATATGGGCCTTAGAACCCTATATAAACATTATATTATATTAACTGGATCCGTAGAACCGGATATAACCTGTTACCCGTAAATATATGTGGGTATATATTTACTGATCTTGAAATAAATCAATAAAGCCACTGTCTATTATATTCTTTGTGAGTAACAATGATAAGATTTATACCAAAAGGAACACACACACAGTCGTCACAAATATTTAAACAGTGAAAAGAATACTCCCCAGTCAATTGCATTTATTATATACGAAGTACACATACATAAGTATGTATGTATTTAAAATCAAGTATTTCAGTACGATGAAAAAAGGATATTATGGAACCACGAAACTTCACCTACTTACAATGCACTAATTTACAAAACAACCTACATTCATTACAAAATCGAAAAATACGACCGACGACGCATACATACCCTCAACCGATTTATCCAATTCCAATTCTTTTAATGCATCCGTCATGGCATTTTGTATATCGGAAATATTACGATTATTGGCAATATCCAATGATGGCTGCTCCAATGGTGATGTTACATTACTATCGGTAACAATTTCATATTCTCCACTGGTTGTAATAGATGATTCGGAAGATTTTGTGCTTAAATTGTCATCCATGTTAGGTATAGAGCGTTTCCTAGCGTTCTCGTTTTGCCAAGTATTTAAAATGTACACAAAAGTTTTGTTTTTCTTCTATGCAATTATATTTTTGTTAAAGAGATTTTCATGTTTTCTTTGTTGTTGTTTTCAATTTTTAATTGTTTTGAATCACATTAGAGTAAAACACTTTTTTAAATTCCTTTTTTTCTTTTTTTAAGTTTTCTTAACCAATGACCGATGACGAATCGATTGTGTTTCTTTTTTCCTTCTACTGCGTTTTTGATTACAATAAAAGTGGGGCTGGGGTTGGCTGCTGCTGCTTCTGCTGGCTATTGGTTGACACCATACTCGTCAATTAACTTGAAGGGGGGCAGCAGGCAGCTCAAAAAACTTTTCTCTACGTATAGCAAAAAATTTTCATTTCAATTTTGCAAACAAATTATTTTCATAACGTTTTTTTCACATTTCCTTTACGTTGTTTAATCTTTTTTCTGTATTTGTTGTTTTAATTAAATTATTTATTTGTTTAAGCACAAAATTACTTCGTTTGTTTATGAGTTCAATTATTTTGCAATATTTATTTATTTGTCAAACCTCCTTTGCGAGCCATCAACCGAATGAACCGACCAAATCTAAACACGTTCCATATGCCACGAATTGGGGAAAGAGTAGCGAATTACTGATAAAAACCAAGATGGAAACGAAATGGGCGAAAGCCTTTAATGTTTACGAATGAGTACGATGTATAATGACAATATCATCTATAGTGGAAGAATGCCAATCAGCTGATAGAGTATAAAAATAAAATAAAAAAAAAACACAACCGGCAGCAATTACCCGAGATGATGTGTTTGCTGCTGCCGGCCAGAAAAAAGTGAGCCGGATACAGTAAGCTCAGTACAGCGGTTGAGAAATGCATGCGTTGCCATCTGGTCTGAAATTTAGGCCTGGCAAATACAACCCTGTCGAGATGTAGGGATCAAGAGGTGAGATAAAGGAAAAATGATAAATGTCGGAAAATGCGCGAGAATCCCAGAAAAGTGGGAAAATGGCATCTGGCTGCGGGGGTATAAAAGGCATAACGGGGGGGAAATTCGATCAAATTTATTTGGTGTTTTGTCAAGAGACAATACTTTTGGTAACAATTTTTATAAAACAAACAAACCAAAATCCCCAAATTAAACAAAAAAATCCCAAAAAAATTATTAAGACTTGATTTTTATTGTTGAGTGCCTTATGCCTGTGAGCGAGCAAAATAAAGTATGTTTGTGTAATTTGGTAATATTTTATGTGTTTAAATGTTTGTGTTTTGCATAGATACGCCAACATCTTCATCAACCAATAAAGCAAGCATTGACCCCTCCAAGTCGTTGCACGGAGGAGGTCATCCGATTTTTTTGGGGATTATTCGGCAAAAAGATTTATGTGGCTCACGGTTTTAGCCGTAGAATAATTGGCTGGAAGACGGTTAAGCCCAAAGTGAAGACAGCACGCCAGCACAAGCTTGAACGCAGTTGGCCAATAAATTGATGTGTCTGTCCGTCCAAAAATCCTGGAAAGCTAAGTATCTGGAAGCCAGGTAACCATTGTTGTGTCGACATTTAAATGCCAATAGCCTGAGAGATCTGAAATCTGAAAGTAAAACAAAAAATGAATTAGTAAACAAAGACCAAATTAAAAACAAGCAAATCACCAAATGACAAAAAAATTTTAAAAAACCAAACAAAATTATATTTACTAAATTTTAAGTGTTAGATTAAGTGTGTTATGTGTTAGTATTTAGTGATTAATATCTAAGATTTCTAATTGTGAGAATTTTTAACGCCTAACAAATGCGACAAGTGTAGGGTTACCCCAAATATCTTATTGGAAACTTGCATTTGCCTATTTTGGGGACCAAATGGTAATCTCCCCAATAACGACTTAAGAGAGCTCTTTTAGGTGAGGTAATAATATAATAGAGTGGCCAGAAGGAGCCGTTTCAATAGATTGCGTGGGTAGTCTGAAACAGTGACTTATCGATAGCTTTAGGTGTTAGGAATTCAGAATATTGACTATGTGTTTATGTTAGGTTTAAGTAATCATAAAAATAATGAAATTAATAAATATTGTTTATGTGTAAATGTTTAGATTAATATGAATTGCTAGTTGTTTTCTGTAAGGGAGGAAGATTGGACGATGTTGCAGTAAGGTGAGTGTGTGTGGAAACAGGGGCCCTTTAAAATTAAGTGTTTATGAGGACGAGAAGGGTCAAGGTTGGGCGGGCGAAGTGCGGGAATAATTGACACCAAATTCCCTCGTTATGGTCGTATGTGTGTTGTCATTTTGTATTGTTGTTTGTTGTTCTATTTCCGTTTTCCTTCTTGATTGTTCGACCCCTAGGGCTGATGGTGGTAGGGTTGGGAATTCACCCCTAAAGCGGTGCCCCGACTGAGCTGGTTGGAATCCCACCAGGAGCCGCAGTAGGCGGTACGCAACACATTATGAACATTTATTTCAGTGCATCTTGAGAAATGTTTTTATTATCATATTTTAAATTAGACACATCTAAGTCGATTTTTGACTCATTGATTAATCGAAGTCATTACTAGGGCGCATCTTTTATAAAGACGTACATTTGTTGGCTTTATCATTGGTCTGTTCCCGTACTGCAAGCTCAACTTCGAACTTAACATGGCTGCAGACGAATGACAATCTTATGCAAAAATTCAGTACCCTATCTCAATTCCCTCTGAAGATAGAACAGAGGCAAATGACTCGATCGTCTTAGAATTCTACCCTGAACAAGAATAATATACATTATAGGTTCGGAAATGAATATTTCGATGAGTTATGCCATGTTCTGACGGGCATTCGAACAACGTAGTTCGCTCTCAGAATTACGTACATGAATTAACCCGTTCATACAACACTATTCATAATTCATGTCATCAGATTTTTTTATTTCAAACTTTTTGTTTCTTGTTTTAAACCAAAAATGTAACATATGTTAGTGAATTACATAGGGATCTAAATAGAAAAAATAATTCTCTTTCTCCTGACTATATTATGAACCCATATCTATTTACTTTTCATTCATGTTTTCCATTTTTTCTGAAAATGTTGTTGTTTTCAATACATTTTTATATTTTCTCAATTCAAATGTCACATTCTGTCACATATAAAAATGTGGAGAATTTTTTGTTTGAATTGCCCCACATTTGTTTCTTGTTTTGTGCGCTAATTAGAACCAAGGGAAAAGAAATGCATATTGCATTATGTAGACAACAAAATTTACATCCTGCTGCATATATAAAAACTCTACAATTTTTTACTTTTCATTCATGATTTTCAATTTTACTGAAAAAGTTTGAAAATTTCATAAATATTTTCAAACTGTCAAAATTAATTTATTTTCGATAAATACTCTCAATTGTTAGGGATGGGACAAATTTATTGGTTATTCAGAGAGTGATTCGAATTGAACAACGTACAAAAGTCGGTGTTCGCTCAGACAATTTTGTATGGGGAACTAAGTAATTACTTCATAATTAAGGGTCGAACAACGAATGAGAGAGCGAACAACGCTCGTCTGTACATGGCATTAGAAACGGACTGAAAAAAATTGAGATACCCTCTATACTATGTGGAAGGTATAAAAACTAGTAGATTCTTGCAGTGCGGGAACAGATCAGAAGTTGTATGAGGTATCAGGACTGTGCCATAAGAAAAACGTGATAAACTTTTTAAATGTATTAAGGGAAAATCGAAACAATTTTTAATTAGTAGAAGATTCTTTCAGATTCTGTTAAAGCAATTATTTTTATTGGAAAGACCTATATTTATCTCAGATTTCTTTTTTAGTACTTCTGTACTTCTGGTTTACGAATTGCCTATGAATTTGTATCAGCTGATTTTAGACAGACGAGAACATTTTGCATTTATTTTAAAGCACGAAAAAGAGATTTTTACAAATAATTTTTTATTACTTTGAAACGATAAATATTTTTGCAATGATTGTGTTGGCAACGCCGATTTATAAGCATGAAATCTTTTATCGTTTTACCAGCAACCATGCCGCAATTTTTTTGACATTAGGATCACTCTCCACACACTCGAAGGTTATAAAATAAAATATCAATTTGTTAGCTTGTAATAGAATTTATTAAATTATTGTGAATAAATACGCCATTAAGAATATTAAATTAACCAAATATGTGGCCTCGTTTCGGTGTAAAAGTGGGCAACAGCACCCTATGTATTGCTCAAGTTAAACCATCCGATTCGAAACCCGATGTCATAGCCAACAAACAGGGAGACAGAACATCGCAAGCATGTCTGCTGTGGGATGGAGCAGAGGAAATAGAATGTGGATTGACGGCGAAACAGAAAATGTCTTCGAAGCCAAAACAGGCGGTGGCCAATAGTTTTCAGTTTCTGAAAGACCCCCAAGATATGGCCGAAGAGTTTGTGGAGAAGGCCCAGCGGACCATACCATGTGAGTACAACAGTGAGAAGCACACGTTTGTTTTGAAAGCCACTCAACCGTCAGACGATGATGAAGACAAAGTTGTGACAAAAGAACTGTCCGCCTTTGATGTACAAGTTAAGCTGTTCGAGTCCGAATTGGAATTGGCCAAACAGTATTACAATGAACAGGGTAAACCAACGGTTGTGCTATCAATTCCCAGTTATTACCCGGAAAAGTCGTGGCCTCTACTGGCCAAGGCGGCCGAAAAAGCTGGCTTCCATGTTGCTCAGATTGTCGACGAGCCGACAGCAGCCATTCTTGCTTATGGCATCGGGGAGGAGGACAACAACGACGATTCGAAATATGTGTGGACAATTAAATGTGGCGGCATTTATTCCCATTTTGCTTTGTATGAAGTTCGACATGGCCTTTATACGAAAATTGAATGTTTTGGCCCATTCCCCATTGGCGGGCAACAATTCACAGAAGAACTGGTAAAGTTTATCTGCGAAGAATTCCAACGTAAATACAAATTAGATCCCCACGAGAGTCGCCGTTCATTGGCCAAGATACGCACCGCTGCTGCCAACTGCAAACATATTCTAACAACACTGCCATCAACACAGCTCTACATCGATTCGTTAATGGATGGTGTGGACTTCAATGTACAAATGTCAAGGGCACGCTTTGAGAGTCTTATCCAGCCTGTTATTAGTAATTTTATGCAAACGTTAAATGAAAATGTGGACAAGGCATTGAAAAATCATCCTCAAGTGAAGAAAATCGATTCAATTGTTTTGCTTGGTGCCACGACACAAATTCCAAAACTCCAATCTGCCATATCAGGACGTTATCCGGAAGCGGAAATTAATAGCTCAATTTCGGCTGACGAAGTTGTGGCTGTCGGCTGTGCCCGTCAAAGTCTGTTTTTGATCGATAGCGAGAAACAAGTTCTTGAGCCATCCGAGGAATGTGATTGTGTCGAGGAGGAGGTTACAATTTGGCATGGAACGCCGGAGGATGAGGCAAATGCTCAAAAATTATTAAATCCTGGTGATGTACTTCCAAAAACTGTGGTCTTAAATATCAAATTAAAAGATTCGTCGTTGGATTCGGAAACGTTTCAAATTCGTTTCGGCACACAGACTGTGGAGGTTAATGTCCACAAAGCTGCAAGTAGTATACCCGAAGAGGGCTTTGTACGTCTGGAAGCGGATATACAGAAGGCGGAGAATAGCGTACCATTGGTTCGTCTGAAATGTATATGATTGTGGTTCAGTTCAGTTGTTGCATGAAGAAGGAGAGTGCATTGCAATTGACCTACTGAAAATGTTGATGCATGTGCACCGCCTTGTAGACAAAAGAAAAATGTTTACACACATCAAAAAAATTATGTTTTAACTCTGTACACGCAAAACAAGAACGCCTTCAAAAAAATACATATTGCTTGTTTTTTCATTTTAGTCTAAAGAAAATTCTTTTATTTAAAATAAAGTAACAACATTTTTTCGTATTAGAAAAAATCAAATTCACTGGTGGTGTTTTGTTTATATTTTAAGGTGGGGGTTCTATTAAAATATTTACCATGGTCCAAGCTCATCCAGAAAGCACAGCTGATATATACAAACTATGTTGTTGTGATTTGAATTCAAGGTAGATGGTTTGGCATTTCTACGTTTACATCCGAGGGTAAATTTCCAATATAGATTCATGTATTGACATAGCATTTGGGGACAACGTTCCTTAGAAACCTTAACACGATAAGAAAATTAACTCATAAGGCTGATCATTGTGAAGATGCAGTAATGAGTTGTAATACAAGATTTCGAACTACTCGAACATTTTTAATGTGTTTTCTAAAAATAAGAAGAATAGTTTTGACATAAAACTCAACCAATTTTTTTAATAAAAATTAATACCTTTATTATAAAAAACAATTTTTAAAACTCTATATACACACTCTTTTTTTTCAAAACTCCATCATCATTTCATTCAGTTTCTTAGTTTTGGCCTTTAAGCTAGTCTCCAATTTACGTACAAATTCCTCAAACACAACAACACCCTTAAACATGCTGGTCTTTTTGTAATCTTTAATGCGGGATTTTTCATCCGTTTCATCCTCCACTTTATTCTTCTCGTCGAAGGCATTGATTTCCTGCAGCAATTGGGCAATAGTTGGTACAGTTGTGGGATTAAATTTAGCCGCTGCACTGGCATTAAAGGGTACACAAACTTTACCCGTCGATGGATGTATACAAAAGGGGGCCTTCAGCAAATGGTTAAATCCCTTTGTGACATTTATATCCAAACGTGGATAGAGACAAGCCAATTGGATTTCTTCAATGATATTCTTTAAACGTCTTGACCACACCGATTGTGTGGCATTACAGCGCATCGAATTTGCATAACGTTTAAAAGCATCCCATACCTTAAACGCTGGAGCTCCCTCCTCAACATTGTTAAGAAGATATTGTTCGGTTTCTTGGCGGGCCGCTTCGTCACCAATAAAATTACACAATTTCTCAATGCCTTTGGGGGTGCTAAAAAGATTTTGATCTTTTAGAATAATCTCCTCAAACATGGGTTCGATAATTTGAAATGCCCGGCGGACACTGTGATGCATCCGTTCACCAATAAAGACTCGTGAAACACTGGCACCATTTGCTCCCATAGCATTATTGATTATTTGTAGATATTCTGCAACCGCTGAACGACCTTGAGTGTCTAAATGACGTGCCTCGTAATCACATATCCAACAATGTATACCACGTCGACCTGAAAATACCCAGAGGATATGTTCCCAACCGAAATCCTCCTTTACGGCGGTATCTAAAATATTAGCCGCAACTGCCATAAATTTCCAGCATTTCTGGCAAACACTTTTATCGCTGCAACAGGTACGCACATCATCATAATCGGTCATATCAATATCGAAGACAAGTTCACGTTGAACTGGTGCCATAGCCGCTGCAGATATACGATTATTTTTTGGTCTGTAATTTAAGAAAAGGGTTTCAGAATAAGATTTGATTATACATTTTGTTTTCTTATTTCCGGCATCTTAATAATAATCGAACCACTTAGTACAATTCGCCATATTTCTGATCGTGATGGCGTTAAAAAGTACTAAATGTGGTACAATTTGTATTTGGCGAACTGGTAGAGCTAGAACTCTTAAATTTGAATTGAGGGTCACTGATGGAGTGTAGATGGATTTAGGTGAACCGAAAGAGCTGGGATCTTATCATTTGGAGCTTGGATCACTGTTGTTGTTAGAATTGAGCTATTTAGGAAATTTTGGAAATTACTACTAATGTGAACTTAATTAGGTACAACTTAAATTTTGGGTGAACCGAAGTAGGAAGTTTTGGACATTTGTACTAAATGGTACTAAATTTGGTATAATTTAAATTTTGGGTGAACTGATAAAGCTAGAATCATGAAATTAGGAGTTAGGGTCATTGGGTCATTTGGAAATTTGTACTAATGTGTACAAAATGGTACCAAATGTGGATTTGGGTGAAGCGATAGAGCTGGAATCTAGACAATTGGAGTTAGGATCACTGTTCGAGTGTTGGATTGGTGTATGTAGAAAGTAGAAAGTGGACCCATATCGATAATTTTTGGTATGTAGATTTTACACTCAATGCGAATTCTTAATTCCATAACGTTTAAAAGCATCCCATACCTTTAGAGCTGGAGCTTCCTCCTCATCATTGCTAAGACGATATTGTTTGCTTTCTTGGCGGGCCGCTTCGTCGGCAATAAAATTACACATTTTCACAAAACCTTTGGGGGTGCTAAAAAGATGTTGATCTTTTAGAACAATCTCCTCAAACATGGCATCCCATACCTTTAGAGCTGGAGCTCCCTCCTCAACATTTTTAACACTTTGGGGGTGCTAAAAATATTTTGATCGCATCTCAAACATGGGTTCGATAATTTGAAATGTCCGGCGGACACTGTGATGCATCCGCTCGCCAATAAAGCATTATTGATTTCAATACCAAACATCCTTGGAGTAATAGAAATATATGCGCATAACTTTAAAGCTCGTGAGTTTTAAGGGTATAAAATGGTATAAACTTGAGGCGGTTCTGCTTAAGGAGGTTATGTCATAGCATCCATCTATATTGAGCATTTTGTGTGCGACGTTGTTGACCCAATTCGACCAAAAATACCAATAAAATAATAAAATAGGCTGTATCGATATATGGAGTCCATTCCAAAAACTAATATTCATGTGGTCTCCGAAACAGACGATTCCCATTTTATGTTTGATACAATATTATTTGTCTACAACTACAAAAATTTTTACCAAAGATATATTCATATGCAAAATTTACAAACAATTCAAACCTTCTGATATTGTCGACTACTGTACCAAAACCTTTGTTAATCACAGACAAATATTCATTATCCTTTCCATTATGCTCATTCAAAATGTATCTATATTCACCATTAATACAATAATCTCACCTTGTATTCATTACAGCTCCAATATCAATTTTAAATGGACATCTGGTACATAGTTCCTTTTCGAATTCCTGCTGTGATTCGAAACATAAATAACGTATGTAAATATCATCGTGCAGGGTAAATGAAATTTCACGATTAACGAAAATGCCATCCTCAGCTGTATAATGCCAAAAAAGAACAAAAATACATTAGAAGGCAAACAAAATTAGGGCATGATGTATATATGTTTGAGTATTGGTCAGAAAATCATGTCGTGTCATGAGACAAATGAGTGAACCTTATTGTTTTCTAGTCTTAACGTGACCATTACACTTACATAGGGCATAGGAGAGCCATCTGTAAAATGGTTTGTGCGGAAATAAACGTTTATAGTAGACAGGTAGCATATCAGGTAAAAAGGCTGGATCATATTCGGCTGCATTTGTTAGTTTCTTTTGTTGCTGTTTCTCGTCGTCGGGATTTTCAGACGAGACAGGTTCTGTAGCCGTGTTGGTGGTGTTTGAGTTTTCAGTTTCCATTTCAGGCATGTTGTTGTTGTTGTTTCAAAACGAGTAATTAAGTACCGGAATAAGGTTGTTTGGATTTCTGCAAGGGGAGGAGATTACAAGATTAGCAAAGAAATTTGGAAGTATATTCGAATATATAATATTTTTAAAACTCAAACTACCACATACCCACCTTCGTAGTTGATCCTTGTTAGCCAAATTAAATTTATATTTTTAGAATGAAATCAAAACTTAAGTGGAACCTTATTCTTTTTTTAAAATCAACTCATTTAGAAAAAGTTAAAATTTGTTTAAATATTTGAAAAACTAATCCATTTATTAAACTTGAAAAATAAACACACGTGTATAAAACATGATTTCATTTTTACAAAATTCAAGTCTGCTATAAAACTTGAAAACATATTTTTAAGAAATCCATATGTATAAAATTTAAAAAAAAAAAAAAATATTCTTAAGAAATCCAAGCCTATAAATTTTGAAAAATATTTTTAAGAAATCCGAACCTTCTATAAAGCTTAAAAAAAATGTTTTAGGGAAAAAACATCTCCTATAAAAATGAAAAAAATTTTCAAAAACAAAAATATGATTTTTGTTTTTGAAAATTCTACGCTTGCTATAAAATATGAAAAAATAAAAATATTTCTTTAAAAAAATCCAAGCCTGCTATAAAACTTGAAAGATATATATACATTGAAAACAAATATTTAAAAAAAATCCACGACGGATATCAATCTTGAAAAAAAATGTTTATTTGTAAAAAAAAAATTGTTAAAATCCACACCTGCTTGCTATAAAACATAAAAATATATTTTTAAAAATTCCACTTTTAACAATTCCACGCCTGCTATAACATTTGAAAAATATATTTAAAAAATGCATTTCCTTTTGTGAAAATGAAAACCTATTTAATTAAAAAAGTACGCCTACTCCTTTGGGTATTCGAAGATTTGTTTAAGGTGTATACTAATAATAAATAATAGATTATATTTATATTTTTTATTAAATTTTCTTTTATTTTTGGTTTTTTATTGTTTTTTGTTATTTTATTTTTTAAATGTTAATAAAACATTAAAGAATGATAAAAGAATAATTGTTAATATTATTTTAAATTAAAAATCGATCGATTATCAATGTTCACTTTCTTTCAGACACAGTAGTAAATAAACCACACCATCATCCATAGATGAATGGGTAGTGGATTTAATATCTCAATGCATCATACACCGAATTTCTTTTTTTTATTATTTTATTATTTTTATATAATATATATTAAATATATTTGGTTATTAAGAATAATGTGTTTTTTTTTTGCATTTTTCTTTTTGGGAAATTCCTCAGATTTGTGGTTTGTATAATGGTGGTGATGATGTCTTCGTGTGGCTTCAGCGTTAAACGAAATGACCATAACCCTGGCATATATATTGTCCATAATGGAAATGGAAATCCATTCGGCTGCTATGGCGCCTTAAGCTCAACATCATGCATGTTGCCCCCTATGAAACTTCTTGTTCGATTAACTTAGAGTTAGGCTTTTTGTGCTTCAAATTCATATAACTAATGTAGAATATTATAATTATAATATAGAGATGATTTAGTTTTTGAAAATTGTAATTTATATGTATGTGTATATGGGTGAGTGTGTTTCGCGCTTCATTCTCACGTCACAGTCAAGCGTATATCTTGCATTTTATGTTGTTGCCATAAATCTTCGGCGGGTTTTGCGGGCGCTGTACTATATAAAGTAACCGAAGCTATGTGATTATTTGACATAACCTCAAATATGATATCCTGATAGCCATAACAGAACGTCGAACCAAATGGATTGGCGGTATTTGTGGAGCTGGCTCTGTGCAATACCACTGGCCGCTCCGAGGGAGCCATGGCAGCACTGATTTCATTCCATTTGGAATAAGCATTAATGCTGACGAGTCCACCAGTATTTGTTGTCTCGCCACCACTGCCATAGGAAGCACGTGAACCCGTCGTGTCGTTCAGTTGCGAACGTTCAGGTTGTAGTTGAAATTGAAATTCACATCTATGATACATGTTGAAGTTGAAATGGCCCGGGTAGTTGGTGTGTAAAATGAATTTTTTACAGGTTTGGGTGCGGGCATCGAAGAGGACATCTATGCCCAGAGTGAAGTAATTGAAGAAAATATCACTGCGTTTCGATTGGGCCTGCCGATTGACACTGGAGGAATGTATTTTCATTTTATCTTCACTCTTGAAGAAAATACGATTGGGAGCGCCCAGTTGTGTTGTTACATCCTGACAACTGTCACCAAAATGAATCTCTTTGGTGAAACACTGGCGACGTGGCTCCAGCGAACGTCCTGATCCTTCGGTGAATAGCTTCAAACGCAGACCTTTGGTACAACCCAACACTGATCTGAGTACCGTGGCCGATTCCAAATACAATTGACGATGATAGCAGGATAGGGGCAGTGGAGGTGTCTTGTTTTCAGCCACATTACTACCAGCATACAGTGACATTTTGGAGACCACCGGTGATGCTCCACTCAAGAACACCAATGAGCCCAGCCCATGAGCATAGCCAGCATGCAATTTACTATCGACGGGAAAATAGAAACTTAGACCACGAAAATGTAAGGCAAACAGTTGCTTGGCTGCATCATAAACACCTGGATGTGTGGCACCAAAGGAGTGCTCAATTTGTTCAATGGAAGGCAAAACTTCGGGAGAATTGAAATAGACACCGCCATACTTAAGTTTCACCAATTTCATGTTGCAAACTTCGATAATCTTCAGGCGTTGATTTACGGGATCGAATATCAAACGTAGACCATCCTGGGGTAGATTGATTATAATGTCCACACCCAGCGGGTTGGTGTCCGAGTACAACACCTGAACGCCCTTGATGATGCCCACTTGCGATTGTATTATGGCAATTGCCTGAGAAAAATGCATACCCAAAACGAATTCCCAGGCATCACAGCCAAGAGAAATTTCGGGTACAATTTCTAAGTCCAACATTGTTTAGAAATGTTACAAATTAAGCTAAAAATAGAAACAGACACAGACATAAACAAACAATGAGTTGGAGGAAATCGAGGAGTTGTGTTTACAACAATGTAAACAACAAAAGCAACAACAACATACCTTGTTTATTTTGTGGGTTCCTAATTAATATTTGTTTGTTGTTGTATTGGCAGACTTGGGCAGTGTTAAAAGGTGTTGTGTTTATGTTGTTGCTTCTCTGTTACTTTCTCGTTTAATTTTTAATTTGATTGTGTCATTCCCTCTTTTTATTATAAATTTAGTAATAGATTTTTAATTTTTGCAAGGTCTTTGTTCGTTTAATAAAAACTTGACCCTGATATGAGCAAAATGTACTCTATTTTCTCCGTGTGTATGGGTGAAGAAGACGACGACTCTGATTGTGTTGTGCTGTTCTGCTGCTGCCACTTCTCAAGATGATGATTCTTCTTTGTTTATTACTTTTTTGGATGAAATACGTTTGTTGCTGTAGTCTGGCTACTGTAATTTTTGTTGTTCCTTTTCTTTTTAAACTAAAACGTAATTCTTATTTAACGACTTCATTCACTTTACACAGCCACAAAAACAACAACGCTGATTGACCAACCAACCAACGAAATTATATCTTATTATCGATTATTTAATAATGTTTTTTAGTTTTGATCAATCTTCTTTGCGAAATATGTTGTTCTTGATTATCGTGGTTATTTGCTTTTAATTTCGTGTCTTTTTTCTCGTCTATATAGGTGCACTTTGTTTATTTCGTCTTATTTTATTTAATTTTTTCTCTGTACTGTTTCTGTTCAGACCCAACGAAAATCACTCAACACATTAGGATTTGCACTCAACACAACAAAGAAAACACAAAAACACTCAATCGAAAGAACAGATGACAGAGAGTGTACGCCCGAGTCGGTGGTGTTTTTGACGGCGTCGTCAACATTTGCAAATGTCGTTCAATGGCAACACTTTTGTTTTCTTTTTAATTCTAAGTTCAATATTTTTGTTAATTTAAATTAATAATTGAATATACAACTACGTGTATTATTAAAGTCATCGTAATGTAATATTAAATATAGTAACTATTATTGTGATATTATTTAATTGTGATATTATTTAATTGGTAGTAGAGAAGTAAGTAAATATCAGAAAAATATAAAAATATTTTTATAAAACAAATCATTTTTTTTTCCATTTTTAATAATAAATATTACATTTTTAGAAAACTAAATTGTTTTTATTATTAATGCTAATTTATCCCATTCTCTAGGTAGTAAAGTAATTTTAAACAGCTGTCTTTCCTGAGTTACCACCTTCGATAGATAAATAAATTGCGCAACTAAAATTAAATTTTTGTGCACTATAGAAACAGCATAAAAGAAAATTGAGTTTTTTTTTGGAAGTGAGAGAGAGAGATAAGGGTGAAATAAGAGTAAATTTATTCTCACTCCTCTCCCGTCGGATCAATAAACACAATTTAAAGTAATGAGTAACGGACTATACAAAAATTGATCTTTGCCACTAAGGGTAGAAAATAGATAAGGAAAGCTGCAACTGGGCATAATGGCAAAACCCCGAATGAACAGCAGGGAAAAATTGTAAATAGAGTAACACTGTTTGAGCAGTGAGTGTTTGAACCCTGTAAACTACTCAAAACTGATTAATGTACAGATGATAGGCCTAAAATAAACTCTGGATCTACTCCGAATTGAAGATAGGTCATATACCAGCAATTCGAATAAGGGCGAATTCAATTCAAGTCATGCCTTTGTCATATCTTGCTGTCAACATTTTAATCGCGAAATAAAAACCAGAACAGGATAAACGTTCAAAATATCTTTTAAAGAACGTAATGATAATTATGTGCATGTATATTTTGTTTCGAATAAAAATATTTTTTTGTTTATTTATTCTTCAAACCAAGGTTTATTAATAAGGTTAACCGGTAGGCGAATTCATGCCTTAGTCCTCTCTTGCTGTCAAATTTTTAGCCGTGAAATACCAACCAGGACAGGATAAAAAGTCAATATATCCTTCAGGAAAACGTATTGATAGCAATGTGCACATATATTTTGGTTCGAATAAAAATATTTTTTGTTTATTTATTCTTCAAACAATAAATTTGGGAGTCAATGAAGACTTCGAATTCGCCTCCTTGTTAACCTTATGAATAAACCTTGCTTCAAACAATAAATATGACAGTCAATGAAGACTTTGAATTCGCCTTTCTGTTAACCTTACTAATAAACCTTGGTCGAATTATTTCAGAAATAAATAATGGGAGAGGATATTTTAACGGCATCTACTATAATAGGTTAACATTGTAATGAAGACAAAAAAAATGGTTGGCAATACTGCGTAACAAATAACACATATGAAACTTGGCATCATCTTTGCTGTCTGTCTTCGCGTCCCCGATTTTGTTTTTTTGCAAATTTTGGCGCAATGTTGTTTACATTTGTAGAATGTGATTCTTAAGTGTCAAAATTTACTTACCTTATTGTGAAATATGCGCAATATAAACAAATTATGATAGCGTCTTCATTAAATAATCACTTACACTTCTTTTATATGATTTCTATTAATTTTGGAATGTATTTTGCACAATTTGTTAGACGCTCCACGACTTTACTGTTCATCAGAGAGAGAATGACCAAATACTAGTAGGTACTAATTACTCTCTGGCTAGTTGGATGAGTAACTGATCTTAAAAGGGGAACATTAATTTGGACGTATGGCAATTGACATATATATCTTTGTGATTGGAATTTCGAATAAAAAAATTAGTAAAATCTGTAGAACAACAAAAATCGAATGACCAGAAAGAGTTCTTTTTAAAAAAATTTAAAGTATTCCAGGATACCTTTTTTCTATATTTTTTCTACAGGACCATTTTGTGTTTCCCACTGATTTTTTTATTGCTGTATTTCAGTTAACAGAAATGCAAAGGAAACTAAATTTTTTCATAAAAAAATTAGGGATTCAGTATAGAATTCCGGGTACTGTAGACCACGAATATAAGAACATCTAAAAAAATCGAGAAATTTGTTCTTATAAGCGGGCTTTTCTTATATGAATTTATTTTATATAACAAACTGTTTTCATTTATGGGTGAAACATTTTCTTATATCCGTCTTTTTTATTATATAAGATGTTCTTATATCCGTGGTCTACTGTATATTTTTTCTTCAATTAATTATGACAGATTTATACATTGTTTTTTAGTTACTATATCATTTTTGTATTTATTTTTATTCCTCTAATAATAATTCTGTTATAAAAAAATACCCTATATCCAATTTTTATTTAACTTGACTACATATCATCTGCAACATCTAACTTTCGTTGTAACCACTACAGTGGCTCTATGCCACTCGCTGGGACCGGCGTGTCACAAGCGACACAACAAAATTTGGAATCTGTTAAAATGTTGGCAGATAAACAGTAATAACAATAGATATGTTCACAGCCCATATAATGTGGCAATGTGGGACGTTCCCCACAAAATACACATGTTGTGGTGGGTGTCAGTTTTGGTTTTCGATTAGCTGGGTGTAAGGAATTGCCCGCTTCATCAACGGCCTCCGGTTTCTTTAAGGTAAATAGATTTCTTGCAACACGTTGCAGTTTACGGAAATTGATGATGGGCAGAACTAGACCCAATATTTCCTAAATGAAAATAATATCAACATTAATTAGAATTTCTGTGATAAAAAGTGAGATCATAAAACTTACCATAAAACCACCCCACAACAATTCACGGGTCAAATATTTATAACCAATGTCTCTGCGTTGATTGTGCCGCAAACTAATGTAGTCCAGGCCAAGTAGGAAATCAATGAGCGTGGGTTTTCTACCGGTTTTCAGGAATCTAAAGAAATTCAATACCGACAGCACAAGGGCGGCATTCTCTCCATATTCTATGGCCTTGGTAAGCCATTCAACTCGATGGCTGAGTCGACGTTCTTCCAATTTTTTAATATAGCTTGGCAGAACTGTTAGACAGAAATGTAACACCAATCTGGATATGGTTAAACGTTCCGAATCATAGGCCAACACCAGTAGCTGTTGTCCAAATGTTGAACAACGTTTTCCCACCGAACCAAACCAAATTGCCGATTGTATTAGCAGATCCAGTTCGGGTTGTATTTTCAGGTACAATACGGGCTGCAATGGGGAAATAAATATTCTATATAATTAAATCATCTTAATATGGTAGGGTTATCTTAATCTGCTAAATCATACTTACTGATATTGCTTGAAGATTTTCCAGTAGGTTTTCCCTTATCATACGCGTGATATCTTTGTTTAATGTGATGGCGTCAATCTGTAAATCGCAATTATTAGATTTGTTCCTTAATAAATAACTATCATTATGCCCACATACCTGATTGACTCGGGGTACATATTGATTTTTGGTCTCCATCTAGCAGTAATTATTTGATTGCTTACATTTATTGAATCAAATGGTCCCTTTCTGCTGTGGCGGTAGGTTCGGTCAATGGTCAACTGAGTTAAAAAAAAAAACAACAAACAAAACAAACTTTGGGACCACATGGCCGGCATTATTAAAATCGTCGGCGTGATGAAAGTGGAAGAAATGATGCTCAAAACATAACTGATAATGCAGAATCAAAACAAAACTGATTGGGGACAACTAGGTCTAAATTTGTGAACTCCCTTTTGAGAAACAGCTGATTGTGTTTGTTTTGTTCTCCCTCTCTCTTATTTACGGAGCAAAAGTGTTGCCAATTACCTTCAACAATGTATGTGTTATTGTTTTCCAGTGAGTGAACAAACAAGAGCTAACATTTTAAAGTGAATATATTGATAGAGAAAGAGCGAGAGACACATTCTGTGAGAGTTAACAGTTACATTTTGACGCGTAAACATAGGGAGAAAATTTTCACACGAAAATATTGCAAATATTTTTGGACAAAAATATTTCTACGCAGCGCAAAATGTGTTCTTAATTAAATAAAGAGTTGTTAAATCACAAAAAATAGAAATTATTTAAACCACCAAAATGGATGAATCCATAGAAAACACAAAGCCAGTCACTATAACGCAAGAAAATCCCGTAGAACAACATTCCATTGATAATGAAAGCAATAACACCACCAACACAACCACCAATAACAATAGCAACCCACAATCAACAACCATCGTTGATGAGAAGGAGGAGGAGAAGACGAAGGGTGACAACAATGGTCTGTTTGAAATGCACACAGATGGAGAAATTACAACGATGCCATCCCAGCCAATTAATGCCATAAATGTGACGAGCAATGCAAATTTATCAAAAACGCAAGATAAGAATGTGGAAGATAATAAAACAATAATTGAAAATAGTGATAATTTAAAGTTGGAGAAGGGGGAATCATTGGATATTAGAAGAGCAACAACTAATGTAACAACGTCACCAACAAAAACGAATGATGCTGAAATTGTCACAATAACAAATACCCCAACCAAAACAAATGATTCCACACACAGTTCACCCTCCTCATCATCCATACGTTATATGGATCTTGTGGAAAAGGCCGCTGATGTTGTTGAACTTCAACGAGCAACTCCACCATCATCGCAACAACAACAACAGCCGCCGCAGCACCAACAACCATCCACTGAAGAACTCAATAAATTAAAAGAATTTGAAATCAAGTTACAACAACAACAGCAACAATTGGAACAGTTACAAGCAGCATTGACCCAAAAAGATAACATGATATCTTTGTTCCAAAGGGAAAATGCGATATTGGAGAAAGAAAAAGAAGCGGTAAGAAATAAATAATTTTTTGTTGTTGGTAGAATTCTTTTACAGATGTTAATTTATTTGTTCTTTTTAGTTTCGACGTGAAAAGGATTTGGCCAATAAGGCCAGGGAATCCACGGTTATACAATTTGCCATGAAGGAGAAAAATGTTATCGATGCTAAAAAAGAAAAGGAGGCCATAGAGAAACAATTGGCCGATGCTAAGAAAGAAATTAAAAATTATAGCAACAAATTTCAGGCTCTAAATGAAGAGAAATCTCGGATAGCTTATCTAATGGATGAAAAGGTAAGCTAGACATAATAAAGCACAAATTATTCTAATTTCAATTCATATTTTAATTTTCCAACACACAGTGTAACGAAGTACGAAAATACCAAAGAGAATGTGAAAAATTAAAAACCGATTATGGTCATTTGGAATCCAAACTTAAGTATCACATGAATAAATTAAATATGGAGACAGAGGCAAAATTGGCCTTGGAACGTAAATTGGAAGAGGAACGCAATGCCCCCAATAAACTGGAAGAAAAGGCCAATGGTAAATCATCCCCGTCTTTTAAACTATTTATACAAAATTAATATAATTATTTTTTTTTCAGAAAAATTAAAAATTGAATTTGAAGCCCAAACCATATTGCTAAAACATGAAATTGCCAGTAAGACTGAACATTTGGATAAACTCTCCAAGGAAACTGAATCACAAAAGGAAATTATAAAACAATTGCAAGACCAGTTAAAACAAGAGACTCAAGAGGTAATTTAATTTTGAGATGTTTAAACTTAAAACAGTACACAATTTCAAATTATTATTTATTTTATTTTTTTAGAAATCCCAATTATCCGAGGCCTATAATCATCTCCAAGAAGAACACAATCAAATACAAAATTCCTATAGTGAAGAAATGTTACAATCGGCAAAATTACGTGGCCAATTGGAAGAGTTACAAGTTCTGAAAACTCAAAATACTTTGTGAGCACGCAAAATAATTACAATTATTTGATAAATAAAAATGTTTTTTTTATTATTTTAGAAATGAAGAAAAAATTGCAAATTTAACTGCCGAACTAAGTGAAGCCAAGCAACGTTTGCTGGATAATGAACAGGACTTGAAATTGCTGCATGATAAGGAAAAGGAATTGTTAAGCTTTAATATGGAAATGAGTGGCAGCATTGTGGATATGCAAAATCAAATTTGCTTGCTAAAAGCCAAGGTATTTAAGGCTGCTTGCCAAAAACAACAATGGCAGTAAATAACTAGAATGAAATATAATGAGTCGAGCATATATCAAGACTACCTTCTCAGGACAGTCATTGTTTCTATAGAAAAAAAATTCGAGGGCTTGTGGTTTATTGTAAAAATTATATATATTTTTCATTCCGTTTCAGGCCCAAGGAATTGAAGCTGAAAATCAATTGTTAAAAAAAGAAAAATCCTCCTATGATGACAAATATTTGGCACTCGAGGAACAACTGAAATTGGAACAATCTCAAAAGAACGAAGAACGTTTATTGCTTGCCAAGCATTTGTCGGAGAAGACGAAGCTCTATGAAAATACCAAATTAAAATTGGAAAATGTTCAGGGTGATTTTGAGGCGACAAAAAATAAACATAATACCATTGTAAAAGAACTGCAAAGAGAAATAATGAAATTGAAAAAATCTGCCGAACAACAAGGTGATACACCGCAGAGCTATATATGTTGCCGATGTCAACAGACACCGGCGTCACAAAATAATGGTTATCACAAAAATTCCTCGGACGATAGGTTAGTGGCGGAAACAACAAAAAGGCCACATAGTCGCCAGAGCAGTATCAGTACAACAGTGCAAAGTGTTAGTTCCACGGCGGGTAGTAGAAGGGGAAGTGCATCTTCGGAATCCGACACAGTAACCGGCAGGGAATTAGACTTTAAAGATGAAAACAAGGTAAATGGATTTGATTTTAAATTTAACAAAAATATTATTTTGTGTGTGTGTTTTGTTTTCCTTCAGGGACCTTCCAAGAAACATTTAGTCGAACGCATTTTACGTCTGCAACAAGCTTCCGCCCGACAAGCTGAAAAAATTGATTTTCTCGAACAGCATAGCCTTTCACTGGTTGCAGAGCTGCAAAAGAAATCCAAAGTCGTCCAACATTATATGCTTAGGGAACAGGCAGGAGCCTTAACCTCCTCGAAGAGTGATCAAAATAAAAGTGAACTAGCTAAATATGGTAATGGTGTTATGTCCGCCATTTATGGTGGCATTAAGGGTGTCGAAAACAAAAGCATGTCTCTGGAGCTATCACTGGAAATTAACAAAAAACTGCAGGCCGTATTGGAGGATACGTTACTGAAAAATATTACACTAAAGGTGAAAACAAAATGAAAAAAATTTTAATTAATTTCTAAATAATTTTTTTTGTTTTGTTTTCTAGGAAAATTTAGATGTATTGGGCTTGGAGGTGGACAATCTAACTAGGAAATTACGACAAATGGAGGCCAATCGTTAGGTGTCGCAAATTATTATTATTTTAAAAATTTAATTATTACTATTATTCCATATATATATTAAATTAACTGTAATTTATGTATTAATATTTTCGTATGTATTCCAAAAAATTATTGCTCCTCATTATACGCATTTTAGTTTGTGTATGTATGTATTTATACTCTCTCTAATTAAACGACGAACAAAGCATTGTGTGAATTTGTATGTGTAAATAATATAGAATGATTTATTAGAACTAAAAAAAATAAATTATATTCGATGGTTTCATACCGCAAAAGAGGAATATCCAATTTGCAGAGTTTTCATAAAGTCAGGAGATTTGTGGAAATTATTTGAAGTTGTCGTATTCAAAGCACAATTTTAATGCCTCTGGACGTCATTTCATTGGCAAAATGAAATGAACGCTATTCGGATTTATTTTACGGATTCTGAGAACAGGATTCTTATATACCAATTCCTTATAAATCATTTCCAATTTTTTTTAAAATCTTCCACGCGAAGATTTAAAGTAGAATAGTTCTTCTGAGTGGCAGGCCTTCAGCCGAGCATTTAAGACTCTTGTTGATAGATGCGACAGAATATCTTTAGTATGAAATTCTTCGATGAAATAGTTACACTTTGCAATCAGCAAAAATCGACCCATATTGAATATTAAAAAAACATGAAAAAATACAAAATACGATGAAAACTTTGGACGCCCACATCTCAGGAAATGTGAATTTCCATTTTTAAACGTCATTTTCATTTGAACTTTTTACAGGGTTAAAGGTTTTTTTTTCAATTTGGTCCCATGTTGGCCAAATTATTTTCCTGCTAAGGGAAATTGTCCATATTCATCTCCAATATTTCTCTCCTCGAATACCACCTTTGTTATTCCTCTTTAAACTCATTGCATCTCCTGTGTGTGCTTTGCCAATATTTCGTGATTTTCTTCTTTATTTTAACATCATCGCTTATGTTTACTTTCCTTTAACAACAGTAAAAATATATATGAACAACATTTTAATATCTATAACACACCTTCATAAAACTTCTTAGCTATGGTCGAGGGTTGTCCTAAACCCATTGTTACTTGTATTGTTGGTTTTTCACCATCCTTGGCGAGGCGTACAAATTTGTTATCGGTTTGCTTAAAATGCACCTTCATTTGGGGATTTGTATTACCGGTTTCTTCACTAATGAATTCACGTAGCAATGGTGGAAACTCAACAAATGGATTCAATATTTTTTCCTCGACTTTAGCTGTATTCTGTAGATATTTATGCTCATCTTCTTTGTCCACCAATTCATAATCGGCCTTATAACTTGTACTGAAAATTTCCACCGGTTTGGGTAGGGTAACACCACGCCAGGTTTTCTCTACGGTAACCTTTACTTTGCGGGGCTTATCACCATCCTGGGAATAAAAGAGTAGATATTAATATTTAAAAAAATATATTATTTATTGTTTTTGTTCTGACCTCAGCATCCACGGTATCCACCTTCAGTATACGCATATAACATGGCTCTGGGTAACGTTGGAACATGTTGCGTACCACCAACCGGCCAACACCAAAATCTTTAAGATCACCCACTATTTCCCATAAGGTTTTACCTTTGAAATCGGTAGTACGACCAATATATTTAATTACTTTAGTTGCCATTGCAATATTTCTATTTTGTTTTCAATTTTATTCAAAAATGTAGGGAATATTAATGGAATTCAGGTGTTACGTTAAAAATGAAAACCACGAAGAAGAAGTCAATTAGAGCTGACAGTTGAACGATAATATCGATTGTTTTGCTCAACGTGAAAACAGCTGTTGCTGACATTTGTTACACCTTATAATGAGAACGTGTGGCTAAAAGAGCTCAACAGAGGAAAGAAACGAGGAAAAATAATGAATTTTACAATAAATACAAGAGGTTTTTAGAAGATACTAAGCTAAGAAGCATTTCCTAAATGATTTTAAGTGAAAAATTTAAAATTGCGTACAATAAATGTTAAAAAACAAATAAATAACATTGCAGCTATGGGTCGATAACAAATTAATCGATAGCTGTCTGTTTTTGTCTACCCCAAATGCAGCCCTGTCAATGTGGCGTCAGTAACGGTATTTTGCAAAAACGGGCTGAGTTGTGAGAATTTGTTGGCAGTGAAAAAAATATTATAATTTGTATAAAATAAATGTATTTAAATGTGAAAAAAGTATTGAAAAATGATGGTGAAATCGGCCTCTATCAAAAATTAATAAAATACAATGTTATGTGAATCGTTTTCTCTGTTAATTTCGCAAAAGACAATCGGGGTTCGCGTAGTGTGTGTGAGTGCGTTTGTGTTTTAAGTGTTGTTAGAAAATGCAATGTTTCCTCTTCCTTTGCAGCAAAATGGAATAGAATAAAAGGTACGTTTCTTTGGTTATAATGATTTTATAGATGATCACATTTTCTTTTTTTCAGTAGTGGTAAGTCCTTGATGGTTTACAACAAGAATGTGCTCGCTAAATAGCTTTCTCATTGGACTTTGCATATTACCAATTTGTTAATATTTTAAGAGGAGGAAGATATTAAAATTATGTATGGTTTGCTCTATGTTCATCTTGGTGTGACACGGCCGACACAAATGTAAGGAAGAGTTTATTGTATTTATAATATGTTTTATCCCTGAAATTTTTATTTTCCAGATGAGGTAAGATCCATATATCCAAATTTTGGTGAAAAATTTTTAAGTTGAATGGAAAATGTATACAAATTGGATTGCGACAATATCATTGTCTTGTTCAAGGCCAGTTCTCGCATCTTTTTTACCAATATCGTGAAAGTTCTAGGGGACCAGATTTCAACGACACACTTTTTTTTAACCGTAATTCATATTTACTGGGATATAGGACTCCAAAATTCCGTTGGGACCCTTCAAAATGCTTTTCATACCATTCACCCCACTGTGGAACTGGGTATTATATATTTGTGCCTATGTTTGTAACATGCAAAAGAAAACGAGATATACCAAGAGTTACACTTGAGAATATGCATAGAATCACTTTCTGAGTCCGTCTGAGTGTGCATGTTAAATTGTAAATAAAGTACAGGTCGCATTTATGATCCGAATTGGATGAAATTTGACACAGCCCACGTATTTGGCCCAAGAACGAAGCCTATTGAAACTGGTGAATAAGACCAAATTTATGCCGATTGAAACAACATTTTACACAACGTACTTATGAAGTATTAGCATTACGTGTGCTAAGATTTATTGAAATTGGTTCAGATTTACATATAGCTCCCATATATATTTTCGTTCGATTTTATGTAAATGTTGCATCAAACTCCGAAGGTTTGTCCGATTAAGGCGAAATTTTGCACAAACTATAGAATTGAGTCTGGAAAAACTTGTGTCAAGTTTAGTAGAAATTGATTCAGATTTAGATATAGCATTCATATATATTTTCGTTCAATTTGATATAAGTGGACGGACAAAAGTCCAAAATGTTTTCGGATTTTGCATAGCCTATTGATTTGAGTCTAGAATAAAATTTGTTCAGTTTTGTTAATATCGATTCGCATTTACATATAACTTTCCTATATATTTTTTCCGATTTCATTTATATGATGCACCAAATTCCCAAAGTTTTGGCTGATTGCGATGTAGATGCTTCTCAACAATAACTCTTTGAGTTTTCAAGTCCCTGATGTGACAATTTTGTTTGTTGATGTAGCCAACGAGGAGTAAATGGGTCTCATCAGTCAGTATAATTTTATTTGGATGGACTTTCGAATCATTTTCAAGCATTTTAAGGACCCAATCAAATGAGACATTGTTGATGATCTGCCGGCCGACTTGTGTTAATTTAATTCGTGTATGAAATCCGTACTTTCAGTTTCTCTTCCTTTTCTGACACACAATTTTCAATGAAGTTCTTTGACATAGTCCTTATAAATGAATTCGTGTATCAAATCCGTACTTTCAGTTTCTCTTCGGATAAGAAAATTTCCTGACACACAATTTTCAATGAAGTTCTTTGACATAGCCCTTATAAAAGAACCTATAGCTCCTTTTTTTGTGCATTTTCTACTGGTCAGTAAAATAATTCAAATAATCAAGAGATTCAAATTAATCAGTTTGAAATTATCGACATGCAGATCCACTTATTTCTACAGAAAAAAAAACAATCTTGGTTTTGGGGATTTGAATTTTGATGCGTTTAGTTTATGTAATATAAATAACTATTAAAAATACAAATTAGATATGCTATATAATTATGTATAACCATAAAATATGAAAATAATAAAATTTACAGCCTACTGGTTTTCAACATTTTCGCTACGATCAATCGAAGGATGTTGACTTGGATGTCTACGTTTGCCACTTGAATGCACCTGGTGAACAAATGCCTGGGCATCTTCAAAAGAATCGTCAGCCGATGCAGATGGTGGTGTATGTTGATGTGTACTATCGTGGAGTTCTTTGGTGGCATGGGCAGCAGCCTGTGAGGCATTCACCTGAGCCTCTGCAGCCGACGAAGATGCCTTCAGGGCAGCTTCCTTTGTTGCTTCATAGTCCACGGTGGCTTGTCTCAATTGTTCTTCGACCTGTTCTAGACGCGTCTTGGCTTGACCCACCATTGTCGATTGAGAGGCCAATTGATTGCCAACTTCCTGGGCAGTTTGATCGGCATGATCAGCAACAGCCTTGGCATTGTTCAGAGCCCCCGTGAGAACAGATATTTGATTGCGGGCAGCCCTTGCAGCTTGTTGGGCTAGCTGAGCAGTTGTTTGTGCCAATTTCAATTGATCAAGTTCTCGTGACAAAGCCTGCTGGGCAATACCAGCCTGTTGTTGCAGTTCATGTAGAAGTATTTGTTTACCCTCTAGAGCTGCCTGGGCAGTGGCGGCAGCCTGTGTTGCCGCCTGGGCCAGTGAATTTTTGGCTAAAAATGCTGCTTGCTTTGCAGCTGCATGTTGGGATGCCACTGCACTATAGGCCTGATTTGCAGATCCCTGAGCAATCGAACGCAAACCACTGCCAATACTGTAGCCATGTTTAGGACCACTTGAAATTGTTTCACTTGTCAGATGATAAGACACCGAGGGGACACTGCTGGCTGAGGAGACTTTTATAATTTGTTTGGAATTGCTGGACTTAGGGGGTTCACCACTCAAATGATAGCTTCCTGGCGGAGGACCACTGGCTGGTGATCCGGCTAACTTGTAGTCATAGTAACTGTCATCGTATTTGGCATTAACTGCACCAGCGGCACCTCCACCACCACTGTTATTATCCTGAAATGAGATTTCATGATCCGGTGCTGAGTGTTGCGGTTCTTGGGGTATAAAAAGAACACCACCACCACCGCCCCCACCGTGTGTAGAACCCAACGATGCTGCTGATTTATAAATGTAACCATTGCGTTTTGTCAGACGTCCCACTGCTTCCCCGGAAGAGTGAAGGGCTGTAATGAAACAAAAAATACTTTTGAATAATTTCCCGTTTGCAATTTACAAAGCAAACTTACCTAAAATAACGCAAGTTATAACTTTAAATATTATACCGCTGTTCATTACTATTCAACAATTATTTATGGTATGTCCACTCTCGGCTTGTTATACATCAATTTTATACCAAGGCAATGAAATTAGTCGGTCTTCCAAAGTTTTATCGATTTATTTAACCAGCCAAGCTTAACTATCCACCTTGGTCATCACAATATTGGCATATGAGGCCCAAACACACACACATATATATATATATATATATATATGGGGAACAATTTGTTAGCATGTTTTATAGCCGCCACCACTTGACGGTTTTTTCTTTTCCAAGTTTTAAAGGCAGTAATTGCTGATATATTCGTTAACAATTTTAAAGTTTTCATTTTTTTCAATTTTTATTTTGTAATAATTAGTTTTGTTTTTTAACACTACTCCTCTTCTAATGCCTTCTGATATGAAAGCCTAGTGTGAGTGTTGGGCGTTGACGTTTGTTGCTTCGAGGAAGTTTTATTTTAGTTTCGGTGTTTAATCGTACCTCGGCATGCATCTTCCATAGGTGAAATAGAAAGAAGTTTGGATTTTCAATTCCATTGACACCGATGTATTTGCATTTAAGAAACAAATAAAAGGCAGTTTTGTTTACAAGCTGTGTCCACTTTCATGTAAATGTTTATATTACGTGTATAGGATTCACTGAAAAATAATGCAATATTTAAATTAAAATTATTTAAAAATAAAAATAAATGAATAGAAATTATCAAAAAGAAAAAACGTAATTTTTAAGGAGAGCCCCAGTCGTGGATATTTTAAACAAATTTTTTCCAGGCAAGCAATATTGGTCCTAGACCCACCTTTATGTATACCGATCATCATATCTCGACTAGCTGAATCGATCTAGACATGTGTGTCCGTCCGTCCCTATGTCCATTATAATTTGTAAACACGATGGACCAATCTTCACGAAATTTTGCATGTAGGATGGGTTCTGGCGAATGATGATCCCTATTGTTTTTGGTAAAGATTTAGGTTAATATTTAGCGGATGAAATGGACCAAAAACTTTATTTTTGTCCGATTTTCTGGTCGCTCCAGAGGCCGCAATTATGGTCCAAACACATTGAATTTTTACATGGAGAAGGGGATCGGGCCACAGAATAAGCATGCATGCATGTTTTTATTAAGATCGGTCAATATTTAGTGGGTCAAACGGACCCTGACTTTTGTTTTTGAAAAATTACAACATTTGTATTCTATAGCGTATATATTTACCCCTGAAGGAAATAGACCCAAAAAGTTGAGAGTTATCCAAAAGGAATGGTTGACCTTTAAATTGATACCAAATTACATTGTCGTATGTACTCGTATATGGGAGTTACACTTAAATATTTACAGGTGCTTACCTACTGAGATATTATTTAGTAATCCATTACCACACTGGAGGGGAAAAAATATAACGTTGATCGCTTTGAAATTTTCCGTGAGGGTCCAGGTATGGTCAAGGACTTACTTACTTAGCTGGATTGTGACAGAACTTTCGTTCCAAAAGCCGAGCTTAAAAAAGATTTCCAGGCATGTCGGTCTTTTGCGCAGTTTTTCCAATTTGAAACACCATATTCGCAATGTTGTCTTCCCCTTGATCTTTCCATCTTATTCGTGGCCATTTCTGTTCACTTTTGCCTCTCGTATGACTTTTTCCAGCAGGATGTTAAAAAGGTCACACGACAAACTGTCACCTTGTCTGAATCCTCGTTCGGTATTAAACGGCTCCGAGAAGTCCTTTCCGACTTTAACTGCTGATCTTGTGCCAGTTAAAGTTATCCTGCATAGCCGTATTAATTTTGCAGGAATGACAAACGCAGACGTGGCTTTATACACTCTGAACGGATAGGGCTGTCGAATGCGGATTTATAGTCGACGAATAGGTGGAATGTGTCGATGTGTTTTTCGTGGGGTTTTCCAGGATTTGGCGCAGAGTGAAAATCTGATCAATGGTGGATTTGCCAGGTCTGAAGCCGCATTGATATAGTCCGATGATGTCATTGGCATCAGTCCTTCATACAGCACGCTGGATAGCTCTTAATATGCGATGGGAAGGAGACTTATTCCTTTATAGTTGGCACATATCGTCTTATCTCCTTTTTTGTGCACGGGACACAGGATGCTGAGGTTCCAATCATTGGGCATGCATTCCTCTAGTCAAATTGTACTAATCAGCTGGTGCATGCTCCTGACCACCAGTCTTGAATACTTCGGCTGGTAACCCATCGGCTCCTGCAGCTTTATTGTTCTGCTATTCTGACCTCATCTTGGCTAGGTGGTATACATTCTATACCGTCATCTCTTATTAGTTCTGGGGTATCTTGTTCACCGCCACTATTTGATACCAGAAGCTTTTCAAAATGCTTCTTCCAGATCCTCAACGCGCTGTCTGTATCTGTCACAAGGTTTCCTTCTTCATCTCTACAGGAGGCTGTGCCTGCACCTAAACCTTCAGTTTGGTATTTTACTCGTTGGTAAAATTTCCGGACTTCATTCTGACTCCTGTATATCTCGATTTGCTAACGCTCACGTTTTTCTTGTTCTTTCTTCTTTTTTCTGAAAACACGTTTCTCCTCTCTCCTTTTCTCCCGATAATTCTGCATCACATTATGTGTTGTTACTGTTTGCAGGGTTGCCCTATACGCTGCGTTTTTCACATCAGTAGCATTACGATAATCCTGACCGTACCATGGGTTTCTTGGTGGTGGTTTTTGGTACCCAAGTGTTGCTTTTGCTGCAGTTTGTAGGGAGTGGGAAATTCTTTGCCATTGTGCTTCTATACTATTATCGGGACAAGAAGTGCTTTCGTCAAGCAGGTGGGTAAGTTGAGCGGAGTAGGCCTGGGTTAACTGTTGGGTTTGCAGCTTTTCGACGCCGAGTTTCCGTGTTGTGTTAGATCGCACCTTTGCTGCAACATTAAGACGAGTGCAAACCTTGGCTGCTACAAGATAGTGGTCCGAATCTATATACGCTCCTCGGATCGATCGAACGTCTAATACACTGGATGAATGCCTTCCGTCTATCACAACATGATCAATATGATTTCTCGTTGTTCGATCGGGAGAAATCCAAGTGTTTTGTGTATATCGAAATGCTTGAAGCTGGTGCTGCTAACTACCATGTTTTTTTGCTGCCGCGAAATCAATCAACCTCATGACGTTGTCTGATGTTTCTTCATGGAGGCTGAATTTTCCGACGGTGGGACCAAAGATATTTTCCCTTCCGATTTTTGCATTAAAATCTCCTAGCAGAATTCTAATGTCATGGTCAGGGCAACGGTGGCACCATGGGGAGGTCAGTGTCCACAATTGAGTATTGAATATATAAATAAATTGAATATAGTTTTCGGTGATGATCAGATAATAATTTTGGGATGAAGTGGACCGAAAACTTAAACTATGGTGAAGGGAATCTGGACAAGTAATTAGAAGGACTGTACTGAATATTAGTAATAATCGGCGTGTAATTTTTAAATATTTTTCAAAGCCTGGATTGGGAATAAAAAAATATTTTTCAATATGTTAATTTTTATTTAGCCCACCTCAGATGTTCTATAATAAAAAAAAATTAAATAATCTGCAAACAATTTATTTATTATTCTGAAAACGTATTTTAGTGTTGGAATATTCAACCGGATATATTTAAACTTTCTATTTATTTAAACATTGAATTGTTTACACTGAGAATCTAAAAAAGAAAAACAAACACACAAAACATTTATTTATAAATAAAAAAATCACTTTTATTTAAATATAATCATCATTACAAAAAATAAATTAAATACATACATATATAAAAAATAATTAAATAGTTTCTATGTTTACGTGATCAACGGCGTTTTCACGCTCTACAATCTCAAATGACAATTTAAAAAAAAATATAAAAAAACAAACAATAAGGATTAAAACAATAAACAATAAATACATAAAGCTGAGAGCACGTCATCATCGTTGCTTACAACACTAACAAAAAAATAAATAATTAAAAGCTTGTAAAAAAGTAACAGAAATTGAAAAACATGGCGATTTAAAAGTGAAACTCAAATATGTCACGTAGCTGGCAACATCTTCGAGTTGTAGTTGTCGCTGACGAGGATGAAGCTTCTAATCATTTGTAGTATTGAGTGATTTGGCGGATCCAGTCCAAGTAGTGAGATACCTTAACATAGACACCAGGAACATTTGCTTGACCACAGCCAATACCCCAGGAGACAACACCGGCCACTTGCCAAACACCTTGACGTTCACAGACCAAGGGACCGCCACCGTCACCCTTGCAGGCATCCTTGCCCTCTTCACCGCCGGCACACAAGAAACCGGGATTGAGTTTGTAGCTATAGCCGAGGCGGGTTTGACGCAACTGACTTTCACATTGGTGATGGGAGAGAATTGGTACATCGACCTCCTTGAGAATGTTTTGATATTTGCCATGTTCGCCAAAGGCATCCTTGCCCCAACCGGTTGTCCAGCAACGGGCACCAGTGAAGTCGGAATATTTATCGGGCAGACAGGCAGGGCTAATGTGAGGATTTTTGCTGAAATCAACAGGACTATCCAATTTCAAGACGGCCAAATCATTGTCCAAGGTACCGGCATAATATTCAGGATGAATGTGTACAGAGACGACATCACGTTCAATGTAGGGGAAGAACTCAACATCGTGGTTGACATCCCATTCACCCAGGCGGGCTCTTAAATCAAAGCCGTTTTGACTGTAAAGAGAGAAGAAGAAGGAGAGGTTAGTCCACTGAATATGATGCTTTAAAACATTAGGTAAAACTTACGCCTTGATACAATGGGCAGCGGTAATAACATGTTGAGCATCAATGAGGGTGGCACCACAGGCATAAATCGATTCCTTGGGATCCTTCTTCAAAATGGCCACATGCCAAGGATATTCACCGAATTCACTGTCACCATCAACATAGACGGGATTCTTAATGCGTCCGGTAATGCCGGCAGCGTTGCGTGTACCACAGCGTCCATATTGTTGTGGTGGTGGGACGGGGCGCAAGGGGCGACGACAGCAGACTTCATTGACACGACAGGTCTTTTCAACGGGACGATTACCATAGTAGGCACGCTAAAGGAGAGAAGAAGGGGGAAATACGATTAGTAATTGAAAAGAGAAAATTTTGTGGAATGTTTTGTTTTTTTTTTTTGAAAATTCGGAAATTGGACCCTTTTGGAACTACCTCTTCCAATTTGGCAGTATCGGCCAAGATACTACTATGTTTTGCTTTAGTTTCTTCATGTTCTTGCACACTACGCCTACGACGATCTTTGGGAAAGGTAACATATGAGCTGCCTTCTGCAGTGCCAGGAGCCTGGGTGGGTATATTATGGATTTGCAATGCCTTGGCTTTACGATAACGCTGTGACTGTGAAAAGCTAAGCGATTGATTAACATATGAGCTACGATCATCATTATTGTCGCTAGCTGCATCAGTTCCTGAATCTCCATAACCAGTTGAGTAGCCTTGATAGCCCTGATTGGCAGGCGGATAGGAGTTTGAAGCCCCAAAGCCACTATTGCCACTGGGAGGATAGGATGGTCCGCTGGGATAATTACCAGCAGCACCTCCTGCTCCGCTGGTTGGAAATGATGGTCCAGCACCTCCAGCTCCACTGGTTGGATATGATGGCCCGCTAGGATAATTACTAGCACCTGATCCACTGGTTGGATATGATGGTCCGCTAGGATAATTACTAGCCCCTGAGCCGCTGGCTGGATATGATGGCCCACTGGCAGGATATGAGGAAGATGCTTGGAATGAAGTATGACTAGAATGATGCTCATTGTGTTCCTCGAAATGTTGCTGATAATGTTCCTCATGATGATGGTGATGATGATCGTGATCATGTATCGGACTGGGTATTGGAGGCACTTGAGGTCCACTATGATATTCAAATATGGGCTTACTTGGATACATTTCAACATCATAATGTTTAAAACCCGATGCATAATGCGGTATGGGTCCAGGACCAGTCGTATCCGGCTTATGATCCGCATATATAAGACCAGGTCCGCTAACTATTTCAGGATGATGTTCATGTCCATGATGATGATCGTGATCGAAACCCGAATAATGTTCATGATGATGATAATGATGATTCTCAATCACTGTCTCCTTGGGCTTAAACAGACTGCCAATCTTTGAGAAAATATTCAAATTCGGTGTGACATGAAGATTGACCAAAGGCTTGACAACTTTTTCACCAAAATCCGTTTTTTGCACCTGGACCGAAACCAAGGGATTGACATTAATCAAACCGAGATTTAGGCCATTGGGACCTATGGCCCCAAAGTGGGGATTTTGTGCCGGATAATGATCGCCCAAGACATTTGGTGGATAACCCGCCGCATTGCTGGGATAGGGTAGACCAAAGCTTACACCATAGGTGGGCAAGATTTTACGTTGTACCAGTTCAATGGCAGCAATGGCTCCTTGTTGGTCAAAGGTACGCTGCTGCATTGTTGGAAGGGGGTGGAGGAGGGAAGGAAGGAAGGATAAAGATTGATTAAGGCTAGGCCACAATGCAAGTGAGAAAATGGCAAAGGGGGAAACATGCCACATTAGGAAGACTTAGTTGCGTGCGTGCGTGTGAAGTGAGCCTGAGGCTTCTTGAGCTGTGCGGTTAGCATACATTGCTTGTTGTTTTTTTTTGTTTTAGTTGGTATTAGTTACGCCAAGCACATACGCCACCGCTCATAAACTGAAGCAGCTCTCTCGTGTTTCGGCAAATCAAACCTGGTGAGGGCCTAGGCAGCCAGTCAATCTTTGTCACCTCCTTTTTGCATATGTTTACGATCGGGCAGCGTAGTGTGCAAGAAAAAAATTAGAAACTCTTTGCTTTGAAATAATGATTAGGAATTAGAGGGGTTTTAATTCGGGCCAGGCAGGTTAAGACGGTTACACATAAATAAATATAGGAAATCTATTAACAAAAACTTACCCCTTCAGCATCCAAAGGCAAATCGGCAGCTTCATCCTCTTTGTCTTTGGCCTGATCAGCTTCACGTTTACTACGTTTCTTTTCACCTTCATCCTGTTTCTTGTCATCTTCCTGTTCCTTTTTCTCGGGCATGGCACTGGTGGTAATATTGGCGGCAGCTTCATCGCTCAATGCCTCAATTTCCTTACCCAAATTACGAGGATCAATGGCCAAAATTAAATCTTCTTTACGGCCAATACGATCGGCAGCGGGACATTGATTGAAGGGTACACATTGACAGTCGACATATTGGTTGCGAGAGGTATCATAGCCACCAGCAGCATTGTTGTAGGACGATTGGTCATAACCTGAGGTCAAGCTATTGAAATTATTCGAAGAGGAGGCTTGAATGCCACCCAGATTGTGCAACTCCTTTTTATAATAATTGGGATTTTGACTGTGATAACTGGAGCTAGAGCTAGAGCCTGAACCAAAACCAGCATTGCTACCAGCAGCACCAAAACCTGTACTAGCTGAACCAAAGTTGGAACCGGAATTGAAACCAGAACTGCTACCAGCTGAACCGAAACCTGATGAACCAAAGCCATTGGAGGCACCGGTGGAACCAAAACCATTTGAACCAGCACCAAAACCATTTGAGGAACCCAAACCATTAGGTTTGAAACCATTGGAAGTCTGAGACAGTAGACCACCCTGGGAAGCAGCATTGAATCCGGCATTATACGAATTTTGACTTTGACCAAAAGTGCTTGATGCTCCGGATGTCTGAGGATTGAAGGCTGTCGAGGATTGAGCCAAGGCAGAGAAATCGGTATTTATTGTTTGGCCATTACCCAATGGTACAGGAACAGTGGGTACTTTTGTGGAATCTCCACCATCAACATGATGGAAATGATGATGGACATGTTGTTGTAGACCAGCACTGGCGGCAGTGGATACGGCATTGGCTACGGTACCACCAACAACAACCTTTGTGCTCGATGATTGGGTTGCGGAGGCCGATGATTGATGACTATAGAAATTGGTTTGTTGGGAACCGGCAGCATGGATCTTATCGGGATTCTCAAAGGCATATGGAGGTACATTGCCACTGGGACCGGCACCATTGCCATTGTAAACTGGACCTGGAGGTTTGCTGCCATAAATAATTGCACCGGGTGGGGGTTTGTTAAATGTGGTCAAGCCAGAACCGTCAATGGCAGAGGGTGGTGGAGATTCCAAGTAGGGGCCATTGTAGTTGCCACCTGGGCCGGAGGGTCTATAACCAGGTTTATACGATGATTCATAGCCAACTTTGCGTGGTGGACCAAAGGAATTGACAGAGGATGGTGGGGGACCCATGGGTGGACGTCCATTGTAGAAACCAGGTGGTGGCATGGGTTTAGCTGGGCCATATGGTCCACCGCCGAACTTATGGCCTGGTGGTGGAGGTCCCTGGGCATAAATGTTGGAATAGTATGGGCGCTTGCCTTCTGCCTCACAGCTCATTAAACCCAATGAACACAACTTGTCACGGACAATGTTACGAGCTTGCATATCATCACCCTGCATCAAAGCCTGATCCACATTGCCATCAGCATAGACTTGATCGTAATCATTCAAAATTCTACCCTCACGACGAGAGGTGATCAGCTGTTCAATCAATTCATTGACTTCGGTTTCGTTGCTGTAGATTTGTTCATGGACGGCATAATTACGACCTTGAATATCCTCCTGCTTCGCCTCAGCTTCGGCAGATCTACGAGCCAACATTGATTCCTTGACAGACGACGACCAACTACTGGAACCCCAAGAGGGTTCTTCGTCGGCACGACTACTGCATATGGTAAAGGCCAATAGTACGGCGGCCAAGAGGGCCCAATGCTGTGTTACTCTCATGACTAAAAGAAAACAAGAGAAAGAGAGAGAAAAAACAATATTAATAAATTTTTAACCTTCAAAATTACAAATTAGGAATGGTGATAAATGAATGAATGGTTATGAATATTAAGTAATAGTTTTTGTTATAAAAAAAACAAACAAAACAAATTTGGCCTCGATCCCTGATACTTAAGTGGTCATTGTGCTACTTTTTTTGTGTGTGTAAAGATTTGCAGTATTTTCTAGCAGCGTTTTCAAAACAAACCATAAGCGTACGATTATTATGTGTAGGGGGCTGTCAGCGGTATGGCAAACCTGTTTGCCGCTTTTCTGGAGACTGACTGACTAACGAACTACACAAACGCCACAGCGAAGCTAATTTTTGGTTGCTGTTGTTGTTTCATTGTTACTTTTACTTTCGTTTTAAGGTCATTAGCTTGAAGCCGGTAGATAATGATGAGGAGACGCTCAAGCTCACTCTCTGCTTGATGCAGACAATCCAATACCATAGCTGGCAGCCATGAGTTTCCAATGGCGGGTTAAGCAATATTTGATTTTTTTCTGAGATAATAATGAAGCATCTCGTCGCAACTATAAAATTCAGTTCAAGCGTGTTTTATTAAGTAATTTATTTTAACTACATTTGCTTTTCGTACTCTGGGAAGATTAAATTGGTTTCCGAATTAAAAAAAATATTTGGCAATATTTTGCAATTCAATTAAGAAAATGTAGGAATTAAACTTTGCTCATTATTTTATTTCAAAAAGTCAAGATTTCTTTGTGGGAAAGAGGAAGTTGTAAAATTTCCCTGCCCCGGATTTGTATTATGCATGACATAACACGAACGAAGTTTATTTTATCTCCCGATGAAATGAAATGCTTTAATACGCTTGAAATGCGCGGGGGTTGTCTGTTTCTGGAGCACAAAATGTTATGCAAAAACTCAAAGCGTTGGCGGCTTATGATAATAATCATGGTAAACTTTAGTTTTTTTATTATTGGAAACGATTTTTATGTGCCATGTAAGTAACACTCTCTCAACTGAAACCGGATGTCTATCTTAACCTAACCATCCATGGCTTATTTAGTAATTTTTTTTTTTTTCGTTGCATGACGTTGTTTGTAGTCTGCCTGCCATTGTTTCCTTGCAGTGTTGCATTTTATGTAAATTTTTCTTGCTGGGCAACAATGATTTTAATTTTGGAAAAAATGGAAAACTTGATGCGTTTGCCTTTCTTTCTCTCTTCATTTGCATTTGTTTACCCAGTTTTTTGCTATTTATTTTTAAATACAAAGAAACGAAAGGGAAAATTTATGAATTTACCGGAAATGCTGCATAGAATAATGATGGTCCGTCGGTCAATATAATAATTTAGAGGTTATTGACTGAAAATGCTTGGATTTTTTTTTTAAAAGGAAATGTGTCTTTTTGTTGGTGGTTTTGTGGACAAAGAATTATAATTGAAAATGTTTTTATTTGAAAATTTGAATATTTTTTATAATTTGTTTTCTAATCTCATAATGATCTGTTCTCTTTTCTTTTCAGAATATTTGGCACATTTTATTTTAATGGACATCATATTTTGACATATTTGCATTTAAAGTTATTAACATGCAGTTGAAGGAACTTCAAAATCAAATCTTGACGTATTTGCATTTAAAGTTATTTGCATGCAGTTGAAGGCGTTTGAAAATGAATGAAAATTTTGACATATTTGCATTTAAAGTTATCTCAGCGATTTGACACTCAAAAAACTTAAGAAGCTGTAAGATTTACCTTAATTTATATAGATTAGGTATATGACAACCTATTATCGAGAGGTAGGGTTTAAATAATCTGATTCTCCAGAAGGTGTAAGTTCTCCTATAATTTATAAAGATAGGGATGGATATACAGATTAGGTGTCAAATTCGGTATTCTGCGAACCTATTATCGAGAGGTATGGTTCTATGAATTTAATTTCACAGATTCAAGAAAATTATAATTTATGGGAATCAAATAATAATTTTGAATTTAAATACAGAATTCTCAGATTGATTTCGGTTCATTCGGTTGACTTCATCAACCAATCTTCAGGGATAAAGTTTTGTGAGAAAAGCCAGTTACTTATGGCGTTAGAAAAATTATTCAAGCGCCTGTAGAAAACGTAGCTCTTTAGAACTGGAAGGTTCAAAAATTATTTTAGAAATTATTACAGGTTCATTAATTTTAGGAGTTTCATAGCCTACATCAGGCTGCGAAAGGAGCCCTAATGGGGATTGAACAATTTTGCTCCTAGTGTATTTGAATGAAGTATTTGTGGCTTTTTCGAAGATATTCCCAGTAAATACCTCTGACCAAAAAGAGGATTTTTTTAGACTTTTAGATGTTTGCCTTTGATTGAAAACTCAATTTTCTATCTTTCGATTTTGTCAAATCGATTTTCGACTTTTTATGACCGATCCAAAATCGATTAAACATTTATTTTTTTATATGAATTGTTGTTAACAGATAAAATAATGTTTCGGAATGTGTAATTTTTGGGCAATTTGTGCTTTGGGACAATAAGCCAAATATTTATAAAGAAATTCTAAAGTCGATATTGAGAAGGCCGACTTCTCAATCGATCAATCAAGATCAAAAGTCTACTTCGACTTTTTGACATTAAAAAAAATATAAACTCGATTAATCGATAGTCTATTTACTTATCCCTAGTAAGGGATCTGCACGTAAATTTCAATTTTATATTTTCCTCTACAGTTGGACTTCATTATTATCCTTTTTTGGCTCAGATATTAGTTGACCCAGTTTTTTATTTCCATTGAATACACATAAAAAGGACGGGAATAGACCAATTATGCCTGGAGGTACTTGTTATAGAAAATCTCCTATTTGATAGAAAAACTTTTAGGCAGATGATTTTAATGAATTTTTTAAAAGATCTGCAGATTGTTATCAGTTTTTTTAAAGGATCTGCAGATTGATATCTGCCTAATAGTGTTTTCTTTATTTTGATAGGCAAAACTGGACCTGTAATGATCTTAAAAGCAGTTTGAAAAATATTTTTGGAGGTTTGAAGAGAACATTTTGCTTTTTTGAGAAATTAAGTTTATATTTATATTTAGCGAAAAAATTCCCTATAGCAAATTTTGAAGTTAATTTTATTAATTATAGAAAATCAATTATTTTTTGAAATTTTTATAATTAAATGTCATCCCAATCTCAAGCAGTCTTTGTAAATGACAAAATTGTCTGATGTTTCTGGTAGCTTGGATATTTTAATACTGTGGTTGGTCGGAATAGATTATCAGTTTATCTTTTCATTCTGAGGTACTGCTCTAAATTTTGAAATCTGGTTTTGAGTTTTTTTTTTTAATTTTAATCTTACTAATTTCCAAAAAAATACCTTTAAAAGACTACACCAAACTCTAACTAATTTTCACAATAATTAAAAAAAGTTGAAATATTGAAAAACGTATGAAATGATTGCCACTTTTTCCATTACTAATCATTAAAACAATGTAATAACTTCGGAAATGAAATTACACATTTTCGTTTTTGTTTTTAATTTACACCAAAAAGTAAGTTGTGTGGAAGTAAATATTTGAAATAATAATTCCATACACAACTTTCAATTCACCATGAAATGAATATTTTGTTCGTTTTGTCTTTTTTTATTTCGCACACTGCAATTTTTTTCATGATTTTTAAATGATGTTGTTGCTTTTATTTCACTACTTTTTTTTTCTTAACGCATTCACTTTCATTGCTGATGGTGGTTCCACATCTTTCATATATACCACAATTTTTTATGTCAATTTCAATCCAAGGTCTTGTTGCGTTATTTCATAACCAAACCTATTTGGTTTACTTGTTTTTTTCGCCTCGTATTTCGAAGTTTTTTTTATTTTTTTTGTATAATGTCTTCTTGTTGTTGTTGCTGATTTTTCTTTAAACTCACTTTATGTTTTTGTTTATTGTTGTTTGTAATCCTTATGTAATAAATATCGGGTGGGGAACGGTTTAAAATTTAAATAAATATCCTTATGTTCGCTAGAGTGGCTACCGCTACTGTTTTCGGTGATCCACTTCGTTTGTTGTCTTAACGTTGACTGTGCTCTATTGGCCAAAACCGCTTCTTTTTATACTTAAAAAAGGCAAATAGCATAAACAGTCGAGAGCTGTGTAATCTACAACGCTTATACGAAAGATCAGCTCAGTCAGCCACAGCGTATTTTTGCTTTGATTCATTTAGGCTTTTGAGAAAATCTCCCAAAACATAAAATCTCAATGCAAGAAATGTTTGGCCAAAACCTAACTCAGTCTCAGTTTGTATGCTTAACTCTTAGTGGCCTGTGTCAATGTTTTGTGAGTACTGTGACGTCAATATGTTTTGGCCAAAAATTTGTTTTTGTTCACTCACAGTGACAAATACGTCTTGTTGTTGTGACTGTTTTACATCTAGCTCTAGTACTCATTTCTTCGAATAATTGGAGGACGTTTTATTAGGGTTTTTTGTGTCTTAAGCTATTCTTTACAATACGATTTTGAATTATTCATTAATTTTATTGAGGACATATTGGCTGAAGTTCTGTTAAGCGCATTATGAATTTTTAATAGGGAGCTTTAAATTAAAAAAAAATTAGGTTTTATGAATCATCATGAATGTAATATTAGACACTAAGGCCCTTGATCTGTATAATACCTTCATTATACCCGACTTAACTATGATGTGAGGGTATTATGAGTTTTTGTAGTCCCAGAAGTTCCTGATGTCACGAAACATTGCGTCCTAGACTAAGGCGACCAGATTTTGGAAATGAAAATAGATGACAAAAAGAAAAAAATATATATTTTTAATAAAAATAATAGTATAATGGTGTATAAGAGAATGAATTTAATAAATAAATAAAACGTACATTTTGATTCACTTATAAATATATAAAATGAGTTAAAAACTCGGTAATTACGACCGTGCCAAACATTTGGTCCTAAGCGAATAATCTTGGGATCTCGATATAAGAAACATAGCAAAGAAGTATACCTATGTCGACTATGTTTTCCAATGATATTTTGCAACCCATAGTTCACAATAAATAGTGAATTACATTCACTTATTGCAAAATTAAAAAAAAATAAGAGGTTGGTTTCTTTATATTGGGGACACCTAAAACATAGAAGCCAAAATATCAAATTACAGCCAATTCGGTTACAAAACGTGTCTAGGAACCCTAAAAATTTGTTACCCAATTAGCTCCAGATGCCGCAATTATTACCGAAACAACGCAAATTTTTACATGGAGAAGGGGATTAGGCCAAAGAATCAGCATGCCTGTTATAATAAAGATCGGTAAATATTTAGCAGATCAAATGGACCCTGACTTTTGTGTGAAAACTTACAAAATTTGTATTCTATGGTGTATTTATTTACTCCTGAAGGACATAGACCCGAAAAGTTGATAGTATATCCAAGAGGTGTGGTTGACCTTTAAATTGATACCAATTATATTGTCGTATGTACTCAGGTGTGGGAGTTAAACTTATATATTTATAAGTACCATTACCACCTGGAGGGCGGAAATATTGCGCTGATCGCTTTCAAATTTTCCATGAGGATTGAGGTATGGTCAAGGAAAATGCCTATAATTTTCGGTGATGCTCAGAATAATATTGGGATGAAGTGGACCGAAAACTTAATTTTTTGTGTTTTTTCGAGTCGATCTATAGGTCACAATTGAAATTGCGAAAATCACAATACAACCCACGGTGAAGGGAATCTGGACTAGTAATTAGAAGAGCTGTACTGAATATTAGTAATATTCTTTGAACTCTAGTCGGTCAAGAGGGTGTAAATATCGCGAAATATTGCCCATGCTCAGAATGTAGTACCACAGAAAGTTAGATTTTCGTCTAAGTTGTGTAGGGTATCACATGGTCGGCTCCGTCGAACTATACTGCTCCGTTCACTGGTTTACATATATTTAAAAACCAGTGAGCGGAGAGTATAGTCGGACGGGGCCGACCATCTGATACCCTACACAACTCGAGGAAAATCTAACTTTCTATGGTTATATATTCAGAGCTTCGGCAATATTTCGCGATTTTTGCACCCTCTAGACCGACTAGATGTCAACAAATATTTCTAATATTCAGTAGACAAGGGCTGTACTTGTCCAGATTCTCTTTACCGTGGGTTATGTTTTGAGCTTTCAATTGTGGCATGTAGATCGACTTGAAAAAAAAAAAACACAAAAAAATGAAGTTTTCGGTCCACTTCATACCAATATTTTTATCTGATCATCATCGAAAATTATAGGCATTGTACTTGACCATAACTAGAACCTCATGGAACATTTCAAAGTGATCAGCGCTATATTTCCCTCTAGTGGGGTAATGGGTTACTAAATAATATCTGAATATGTAAGCACCCGTAAATATTTAAATGCAACTCCCGCATCCGAGTACATACGACAATATAATTGGCATCAATTTAAAGGTCAACAACTCCTTTTGGATATACTATCAACTTCTCGGCTCTATGTCCTTCAGGAGTAAATATATACGCTATATAATACAAATTTTGTCATTTTTTTGACCGATCTTTATCAAAATTGGCATGCTTATTCTTTGGCCCAATATCCTTCTCCATGTAAAAATTCGAGATGTTTGGGTCATAATTGCGGTCTCTGGAGCGACCAGAAAAACCGACAAAAATTAAGTATTTGGTCCATTTCATCCCCTAAATATTAACCGATCTTTACCAAAAACAATAGCGGTCTTCATTGGGCCGAACCCATTCTACATGCAAAATTTCATGAAAATTGGTCCATAAATGTGGCCTGTATCGTATTTACAAATTATAATGGACAGAAGGACGGACGGACACACATGTCTAGATCGACTCAGCTAGTCGAGATATGACGATACTTAAAGGTGGGTCTAGGACCAATATTTCGCGGCGTTACAAACTCTTGGAGCTGCACAAAGCTATAATACCCTGACAACATAGTTGTGTAGGGTATAAAAAATATATATTTTTCTGGGGCTTGGATTTAAAACAAATATTTTTCCTAATGTTTCCTATGGGTCCATTTGACCCGCTAAATAATATTTATCAAAACAGGCATGCTTATTCTTTGGCTCCATGCAAAAATTCGCGATGTTTAGGCCATAATTGCGGCCTCTGGAGCGACCAGAAAATCAGACAATAATAAAGTTTTTGGCCCATTCCCCTAAATATTAACCGATCTTTTCCAAAAACAATAGGGGTCTTCATTGGTCAGAACCCATCCTACATGCAAAATATCGTGAAGATTGGTCCATATCTGTGGCCTGTATCGTGTTTACAAATTATAATGGACGGACGGACACACATGTCTAGATCGACTCAGCTAGGCGAGATATGATCGATATACTTAAAGGTGGGTCTAGGAGCAATAAACGTCTTAGGAATAAAATTTTTAATCCAATCATTAATTGCATATAAAAAAATATTTTTCAAGGAATCCACGACTTTATGGTTCTAGGAAAAATATTGTTTAAAAAATCGACGCCTTAATAGTCCTTGAAAAGTCTTTGGAAAAAATATTTTTTAAAAAATCCACGCCTTACTAGTCCTTGGAAAAAGTACATATTTTTTAAACCCACGCTTTTAGTCTTTAAAAATACATTTTAAAAGTTTATTAAAAGCCCACGCCTTAATAGTTTTTAGAAGAATATATTTTTTAGAAACGACGTTTTACAGTCTTTGTAAAAATTATTTTTAAAAATTCACGTCTCAACGACTAAATAGTCTTTGAAAAAATATTTTATAAATAATAAAAAGCCTTAATAGGTTTTGAAAAAGAAAATTGTAAAGGGAGGAGAGTCCGTGCCTCCAGGGACCAGCTATATAGTTGCCTTTCCAAATAATAAGACACAAAAACTCCGCTTTACTTTAAGTCTTTTATTTATAATTTTAAAATAAAAGACTTAAAGTAAAGCGGAGTTTTTGTGTCTTATTATTTGGAAAGGCAACTATATAGCTGGTCCCTGGAGGCACGGACTCTCCTCCCTTTACATTTGGCGCCCCACGTTGGGCGCCAAATGGTCCCTGGAGGCACGGACTCTCCTCCCTTTACAAAATTTATAAAAAATCCAAGGCTTAATAGGCTTTTGAAGAAATACTTATAAAATCCCTACGCCTTAACTGCCTTTGGAAAAAAAAACTTTAAAAAAATCCACGTCTTTGAAAAAAATATGTTTTTAAAAATCTAAGCGTTAATAGTCGGCGTTCCCAAAAAAAAAAAATAAATAAAATAAAATTCAAACATCTGTCCATCCACATCCCTCAGGTTTGTTCCACTCACGCCGCAAACCGCACCACTTGGCTTGTTAAGTGGTGTTAATCACATTATTAATAATCTTAACCTAATTTCGTTTCTTCTCTGACCTTGAATACGAAATTGTGCAGACCAAAACATGTTTTGTTTTGTTTTTCATTTTGTTTATAATTAAAGTATCCCAAAAATAGACCATCAATTTATTTTATGCACCATCGGTGATGATGATGATGACGATGATGATTCATAACTTTTTATGGAAGTTTTAGCATAGTTCAGTATCGATGTTGGCATTGTTGTAAAATTTAGTGCGTGCAGGGCATATTAAATGTATGAATTTCAAATCACGATGTCATTTGACTTTGTTTACATTTCCAAAAATTAACAACGTTAATACTTTTGTGTATTTTAACAAGACGTGTGTGAAGGTTGTCTACAAAAACAACAACAATAGAAAAAGCACCAAAAAGTAGCATAGCTCTATAATTAACTGTAGTTCACTAATAAATTACACTGTGCGACACGAATTTTTTTCAGGGGTTCTAATGTACCAATTCTGCTTAGTTGGAGACCCTGGACCACGAATATACCTTTGGTTTTTCTGGGTCACTTCGAAAATTAGTTTTATAACGGTAAATGTAGAGAAAAACGTGGTTTCATAGATTTTCACCTTGAAATGCGTATAACTTATTTTCTTTCTAACGGATTTATATTATTCTTCTTTTGGTTGAA